GGTGGCTGGCATCCCTTAGGTCGTCAGTGGTTTTTTCGTGGTCGGGTTGCCGAATTTAACCCACTTAAAGTTTTAGCAGGTCAAAGGGGCCAGCCCAAACTCGTGGCTTTCCTTTTTGTGTCCCTCTAAAACAGCTTGAAAGGGTGCCTTCAAAAACACGGCTCACGCCCACATGGTTTCAACATCACTGTTTGGGCCGTTGAAAGGCAAGTTTCTTCTTGGTCGGGTGATGATAGGGGCCCTGTAATTAGGCAAGGAAACTACTACTTCTACTACAACTACTGCGACTCCTACTTCCACTTCTACTCCTACTACTACTACTACTACTACTACTACTACTACTACTACTACTACTACTACTACTACTACTACTACTACTACTACTACTACTCTACTACTACTACTGCTACTGCTACTGCTATTACTACTCCTACTTCGAATACTACTCCTACTTCTACTACCCACTACTAGTACCACTACTACTCCTACTCCTACTACTACTACTACTCCTACTCCTACTCCTACTCCTACTCCTAGTTACTACTCCGACTACTCCTACTCCTATTTCTACTACTGCCACTACTACTACTCCTCCTCCCACTTCTACTCCTACTCCTACTCCCACTCCTGCTCCTACTCCTACTCCTGCTCCTATTTACTACTGCGACTACTCCTACTCCTATTTCTACTGCCACTACTACTACTACTACTACTCCTCCTACTCCTATTTACTACTCCGACTACTCCTACTCCTATTTCTACTACTGCCACTACTACTACTACTACTCCTCCTACTCCTACTCCTACTCCTACTCCTACTCCTGCTCCTATTTACTACTCCGACTACTCCTACTCCTATTTCTACTACTGCCACTACTACTACTACTACTCCTCCTACTCCTACTCCTACTCCTACTCCTACTCCTACTCCTCCTCCTACTCCTCCTCCTCCTCCTACTCCTACTTCCACTCCTACTCCTACTCCTACTCCTACTCCTACTCCTACTACTACTCCTCCTTCTACTCCAACTACTCCTATTTCTACTACTACTCCTACTCCTACTCCTACTCCTACTCCTACTCCTTCTTCTTCTACTCCAACTACTCCTATTTCTACTACTACTCCTACTCCTACTTTTACAACTACTTCTACTACTACTACTACTACTACTACTGCTACTACCACTACTATCACTGCTACTGCTACATGCTACTGCTTCTACTACGACTACTACTACTACCACTTCTTCTATTACTACTTCTACTACTACTACTACTACTGCTACTACTACTACCAGTTTTTGTACTACTACTCCTACTTCTACTCCTACAACTGCTACTACTACTACTACTACTACCACTACTAGCACTAGTACTACTACTACTCCTCCTACTACTACAGCGGCTGCGTTTAAGGCTGCGGTTGTGACTGCGACTGCGACTGTCACTATGATTACGACTACGACTACGCTTACGACTGCTGCCATCCCTACTATTGCGGCTGCTCTAGTACATCCAGAGTTACTGCCACCATGGTGACTGCTATTGCGATTTCTATTGGATCGCTGATGGACAAGCCGTGCGTTGCGTGCACTTCTCACATTTTTGTTTGAATCCCGTCTTGGCTTGTGCGCCTTTGCAGCTTTGTGCTTGTAGGTTACAACACGCTTCCTTCTTTGCGTTGCTTGTTCTTTCGCAGCATGTTCTCGCAGCTTGAGCACGTCGTTGCCTGACTTACCTAGCGTTGGCCTTGAGAGTTGAAACCCCACAGGGCCCCGTAGTCAATAGTCTTACCACACGTACGTTGACCAGGTCCCTCCCGAGTCGCGGCTTGCATGCCCCAACAACTTGTGCAGGAGATATCCAGATTTAGGTTTGCCAAGCACACACACACACACCTATCTATGCATCCATGTATACATATTGAATATGTACACACATCTTACGTGCGCATTTATCACCGGCCATGTTGGGCTTTGCAAGGCTCAACGGCGCGGCGATCGACTTTGCTGCGACCAAGAAGCGGCGGCAGACACTGGACACGCCCAGCCGCACAGAGACGCTTCGGCCGAGTCTTGGCCGAGACTGTTCCCCTGAGTTCAGCCTAAGCACCATGGACCACCAGTTTGAGTGAGTAGCAATCAATTAGCGAACGGTGCATGGAGCCCTTTTATATATTTTTTTGGCCGAGCTGTTTCCAGGCGTTTATCAACTGTTTGCTGACTGTACCTGTTGGTTGAGTATGCCAGGAAGGAAGCCTGACATTCTCACAAATGGTCCCCAATCTTCTGTGCATCAAATCCGTGAACCTGATGGCTTCATACAATCTTTGCTTACCTTGGACAAAGCTCTTGTTTCTGACGTAAGACCACCGTTTTGGGAGGAAGTCTATGTCCTTTGAACCTGCTGTATATTTCCTCCATTTTGAGCACAGACTTGGACAGCAGAAGGAGACCGTTGCCCCCACTCCCACTCTTCATGCCCGGCGTCCGTCTCAGGAACCCCGCCGCGCTGGCCTCGCTGCCGCTGGGATCCAGGGTTGTGCGGAGTGGTGTTTCGAGCATCCTTGGGTTTAACATTGGCGACGACTTAAAATTGCTGGCGAAAAAAACGCACAAAAAGTGGCTGATTTAAGGCTTGGGCTGTTTTGGGAGGGCAACTGGTTCCTTTTGAACGTTTCACTTTGCCAGGGAGGGGTGGGGTCTTATGAGTCGGATCCTAGGCATGGATCCCAAACTTCTCCCGGTCGGTGCAACAGCACTGCCTTCATGGGTCCCAAGAACCCATGTGTCGATTGGCGAGGCTTATCTTGGTTGCCCCTTTGACCGAACCAACCTTTTGGCCTTGTGGATCCCATCGTAAGGTACGTCCGACATGAGTGCGCGGAGGATGTTTAAGCTTTTGGAAAAATGCATACCTTTCGGCAGACAGTTCGACTTGCAAGCGCCCCTAGGGGCCGTTCCGGGCTATGTCTGGCTCTGGCTCTTCCCAACGGCGGCATTGGAATCCCGGGGATTCCCCCTCGTACCGAAGGAAGATCACGGTGACTTCTTGGCACCGGAGTGCACCATGTTTATTCTTTTTTTTTTTTTTAATACATAAATAAATGGATAAATAAATAGATAAATACATAAAACATAACACAAATAAAACAAGGATGTACTGTTTAAACATTTGAAGAGCCAACAGCGGTGGAGCTAGTGGGTGCACATCTCGCTTGTTTGGAGTTTGCATGTTGCAGCGGTCAATCTCTGTCCCAAATTATAGCTCTGAGACATTGCCCAAGAGGAGATGCCTCTATTTTGATGGGTCATACTCAGGATTGCGCAGGCTACATTAAAGCGGCAAGCCAGGCCGACATGCAGGCATCACTGGAGAATAAGGGTCAAACCCAGTGAGGCCTTGGAGCTCTTCGTGTCACGCATTCCCTCCTTGCGTGACAGGCATCCAGACATCTGAGGTACAGCTACTGGTCAAGCTGACCGCGCGCCCGCTCGTTGGGGGAAAAATCAATGGCGCGCGGTGGTGTTTCTCTGCAAGGTTCAGGGGCGCCCCCTGATTTTCACATACCGCCTGTTCTGGAGTGTTTACCCGCTTTTGGCTGGTTATGGGAAAGGCCATATTTCATGCCCCATTTGTTTGAAGGTTCCCCGGTTGCTTAATCTTTCTTTGCGACCTTTTATCCTGTTTTGAACGTGTTCCTAACCGGCGAACAGGGTTTGAGTTTTTCGCTGGGGGAAGGTGGTAGCTCTGCTGGTGTCTGAGGTACGTGCCTAGGCCCGTTGCTTCTGGTGGCTTTCTCAACCCGCTTGATGGTGGGTTTTTGGATCACCGCGTCCAATACCGTCTCTAAGGGGGGGTACCCCAAGAGGAGTTGTTTTTTCTTTTTTCTCGGTTGGTTCCCTTTTTCCACCCCCAAAAGGGGGTGCCCTCAACAGAAGACGAGCCATCCATACTGTGGATAGAAAAGCAAAAAATCCGCTTCTCGCACCACGGAACTGAGAAACCCAACGGAATGATGAGCGATTCCCCAAAGTTTTTTGCCAACAAGCGTTACGGCTTCACTCCCATGACTCCATTTCGTGGTGCGAACGGATTTCGCGTTTCCATCTACAGTATGCCGCAGGGGGTCATGATTTTTAAGCGTAGGAGCCACTGAGTAGTCACTTAGGTATCTTTTCACCATAGCTTGCCATGGGAAAGTCGGACTGAGTATCCTGTTTGTTCTGGGGAGTTGAGAGAAATGTGAAGGATGCTCCTCCTCTGGAAAACACATGTGTATGATATAAAGGAACCCCCTATGCCATGGCGTCCTAACGCCTCCGTAACCCTGCCTTGCCCTTGTGCCCCCCAAATTAGACCCGAAGAAGGCCTATTCAGGCCTTACTTGGCATAAAGGGGACGGGGCAAGAAAGTTGTTGGATGGTTTTGGGCGCTGCGGAATGCGTGCAGCGGTCAATATCCTCGATCACCTACTGCAGTCACTCCCGAGTGACATTGGGCACACACACACACGCGCGCACAGAAGAAATAGCCATTCGGGGCAGGCGTGCCAATGACCAAAGTCCAAGGTCGTCGGGGCACAAAAAGCACATCGGCCTGGCTGCACATGTCAATTGCGGTAGGTGGAAGGGAAGCTGGTCCCATCAGGTTGCGATCGCACTAGATCTATTTATTGCGATTCGCTCAGGCCAGCGGATTCCACGAACATCACCTGCTGTATGTTCAGGGAATCAACCGTACCGATTGTGATCCAACCCCTCTTCTTTCTCTTTGGTTTAAGCTTCAATTAACCCTCTGTTGTTGTTTGCACTCTGATAGTCCCCCCCCACTATCCAGACAACAAACTACGCTTTTGCCAGGGTCTCAGTTTGAAGAACTTGCAATCAAGGGTCAAACTAATTATTATTTGTCCCATCGATTTTCCCATCTAGAGTCATCCCTGGATTCACGGGGCTAGTGCCAAGTTCATCGGCGGCGCTTTTGGGGCGGGATCTGAGGACGCGCCTTTGCCCCACCATTCCCACCGCGCCTCTTGCATCCTGCACCGGCCGGGCACCCAGTGTGGGAGGTTGATCGGATTGGACCGGAGGTTGCAGCGAGGTGTTTTCTTGCTCCCGGAGTTTCTGGCCATAGGTTTCGAGGAAGGCAAACTTTGGAGTGAAGGCAAGAGTTCAGGTTTTTTTGGCATCCACTCAGAAAGTGGTCTCAGGAGAGACTTTAGTATCTTCAGCAACCCGAATACGGCTCTCGTAACCATTTGAAGAACTTGTGAGAAGGCGCAACAAGCCTTTCCTTTGGGTTCCTTTGGTTTTTGCCCTATATAGAACGTGTTGCTTGAGGCAATCGACACGTTGCCCATGGCAAAGACTCTGGCTGCGAGTATTGGAATTCCTCTTGGCCTCATATACAACTCAGATGAACCCCTACCCAGCACCATAGTGGGAAACAAGCTATGCATTTTGCCTCTGGATGACACTTTCCCTGTGAATCGTGCTGTACAAGGGCTCCCCTGCCTCCAGAGAATTTTCATTAGGCCTAGCCAACTTTCGGCCCCAATGGCTGGGGAGGGGTGGACTCAACTGGCTTCCTGGCTTGGAGGCGCTGGGCGAGGGTTTTGATTGGAAGCGCCGGGTGAAAAACCCTGGCGTTTCGTGAAGATCGGAGGCCTTTGGATGTTGGGCATATCAAGGCAAGCCTTGCTCCGCCAGTTTTCGGGGAACAAGTTCGAAGGGTCCCGAACCATTTCCATGGCGAATCGCATCTTTGCAAAGCCATCAGTGTTTCCGAGCCATTTCCCTTTTTGGGAGCCTCCAAAAGCGATCGTTTCGAAGGAAACCGGACCATTTGCTCAACATTTGGTTTCCTCCATTTTTGTGGAACCTCCTTTCAGGCGATCGTTACGGACACCAAGTTGCAAACATTACGAGGGGAGATGTGACTTGTCCCATGCCCATGCCCCCCAGGTTGGCTTCGAAAGCTTTGCTAGGACTTCAACCTTTAGCGGGGGATCAACTTGCGATCGGTGCGAGAGAGGCGATGGGAATGAGAATGAGATGCAGGGATCCAATAAAAACCATCCAACCGTTTTGTTTCTCCTTTTTTTTTCCGGGAATCCCCAAAACCGGTTCATTCCATTCCACATTCCCTACCTATAGCACAAATGTTTGGACAGCCCACCCTCCCCCACCCTCCCCTCTCGACCATGCCCGTGTTCGCCGAAAGCTTAAGCTCCTGCAAAAACAGATGTGAAGTCAAAAACAAACACGAGCTGCATATGGCCATGGGTCATAACCTATGCCGATCCCATTTTGGGGCGGAACACCCATGTACCTATGTTGATGTTCACATTTCCGTTTTTTTTTGGGTTTTGACCCGCAGCCATATCAAATTAAAATCAAGCGAGCCGCGTTGCGAGAGGTTCGACTTCTTTAAGCCGGTGGGCTGGTTCCACATGGGCCCCGTGGTGGACGGAAAGCCGGGGCCCTGGATTTGTTTTTCTGGCGCCGCGCTTGCGCGGAGGTGGGGTGGGGTGGCAAACCGCGGGTTTTGGTTTCCATGTGTCCATTTACCAGGGCAAGCCATTTTGGAGTTCCGGGTTTTTGAGCCACAGCCAAATCCCTCGGAGGAGGGATGTGTGCGGAGAGGATTGGGGTGGGGTGGGGAGGGGTAGGCTTGCTGCCACGTGGGTCTGTCTTATTTTACAGGAGCCTTTTTGTTGTGTGGTTTTACGGGGAGGCCTTTTTTTGAGCAAAAACGCGTTTTTGCTTTTTGGTGGTTTTCAAGGGAAGCCAAGAGGAGAACTACATTTTTTGGGGGGCACCCCTAGAAGAAGGCACACCCATCTGCGCACAAAGCGAGCTTTGGAGGATGTCACTTTCATGGGCTCTGGTCTTTTGGCTGGACCGGACCTCACTCTTCCGCCAGGGAGCTGCTTGGTAAATTGGGGGCCCCTACTTCCAAAGGCTGGTGTATTTGTTGAGCATCCCCTTTTGGCTGAGGGAAATGACCACTGGACATTCGATGTAGTTTCACCTTCAGGTTCAATTTGGTCCGGTTCATTTGGAACTTCCCGATTTGTATCGAGATGAATATTCCCTCCAAGCAGCCTTTGGTGCTGGCCAAGTTCAAATAAATGTCCGGCTACAAGCGCCTGATCAGGGACCATTCAAAAAAGGTACCCCTGCCTAGTTGGCAAAGCCGATGCAAGGCCGTCAAACACGGATACCACAGGAAGGTTTTCCAATTTGTTTGAACATATTGGATTCCAATTCTCATTCTCCGGATGGCGCCAGCAAGTAAAGGATGAACTTATCATTTGAGTATGTCATGCTCGAGTTGCGCCTTTCAAACAAGTGGAAGCTACCCACAAGGTTCTGAGCATTTTGGGCCGGCACGTTTCTTCACGCGGACTGAGGTACAGCATTGATGCCTACATGAACTGTGTGGATGCCTGCTACCAGACCCTGAAGCACAAGATGAATGGCAGGCGGATTGGGATCCGGGGGCCACTGGACTTTTGATGCGCGGGCGATGTGTCGGGTCGAGATGCATGTTTCATCCAGCATGAGCTGACTGACCCAAGCTGGAGTTTGGACGGGATTACATCCGGTTGGAAGTATTGGAAATGATTGTCCTTTTTTTCTTCTATCGAGACACACGCACCCCTCTTTGGACTTTGGGTCAGGGCAAAGTGGGGACAAACCAGAGAAATCCCACGCGGCGTCTGCGTCAAATGCTGAAATTTGTTCGTACGGATCGGATCAGCTTCAACTCCTGAGGTCCAAAAGGTCCAAACGGTTCCACAGGGCTCCTTGAAAAAAGATCTCCATTTGAAGCATGGCTGGCTTTTTCAAGACCAAAATAAAGAAATGGAGACCACCATTTACAAGTTGCAATGTTCAGGTGTTCTTCATGTAAGGATCCCTGTTCCAATCTTGACACTGCCACTCTCGCAGGGGGGTCTCTCTTTTTGCTACAAATTTGGTGAGGAAAATGGGCCCGAGCCCCTCAAAAAGGAATCCTTCACTACGAGGGGGTCGATCAATTGTCCACAAAAGGTGGCAAAAAGACCCCCCCTGCACTCTCGGGTCTTTGTAAATCAGGGGACCTTAAAAGGGTTCGAATCAACCGGGTTGCGTACACCGTAGGACAAGTGTAGCATCGGAAAAGACCGCATTCGGTAAAACCCATCCAGGGCCCCGCTTTCTTTTTTCAGGGACCGCCCCGAAATGGTGGTCGTCCCTTTGGTTTTCCATTGAAACCACAAAAAAGCGGTCGGCTTAAAAGGACAGACCCTGAGCGAAATCTGGCGAGCGCCCTCATTGCTTGATGCCAAGTGGGTTGTGTTTGATAGGTCCTCGTCACGACGAAACGGTCCCTTGTGCGCCTCTTGATCAGAGCTGGTTGGAGAAGGAAGCCAGGCAGCGTGGAATAATGTTAACCCCGGATTAAGCAGAACCCCTGCTTGATTTTGATCGGGGGGTGTCCCCCTTTTAGTGGGGATTCGGACTACTGTTGGAGGGAACACCCCGCTAATAATGGGACGGGTCTGCTTAGATCCTGGGTCAACATTTCAAATGGTTGAGCGAGCCGTGCCGCAGCTAAGGCGTGGGGCAGGTAGACTTCTTTTACCTTCTCCAGAATTAGCTCCCCTTTTTGATGTTTTTTGCTTTTTTGGGGTCCTTTCTTTGTCACCAACCAGGCAAATATATTTTCTGTTGCTGGGGTCCTAATTTGAGCCTAGTTGCTTGACAGCAACGACAAATTCTGGCGGTCAAAGACGCCGGTCGCATAATCAGCGGAGCTTGGATCAGGCCCAGATTTCCTGCACCTACAGGGTTGTGACATGCTGAAAAGATTCGGATCCTGTGGAAAGTACAGCTACAATATGAAACACACGAGACTGGGCCAATGTTGCATGACTTTCCTTTAGAAAAGGATGGAAGAGGTGATGCGTTCTGCTCTTCATATGAAGGGTAGTGCCAAAAGGGGTCCAGCCCACTTTTCAGGGGCACAGTGTTAGCTTCCTCCTTTTTTCTTTGGAACCAAAACCAAGGCAGCAAACCAAACAATAAACCAAGACAACACACCAACACAACAAGCCAAACAACAAGCCAAACCAACAAACCAAACAAGAAACCAGTCCAACAAACTTACCAAGAAAAGCCGCCCGGTTGAACACGGATCTCAACTAGTTGTTCGCCCTTGGACAAACTGGTTCACGGATGCCGCGTTGCCCTTCATGGGTGGCTCGGATATTCCGCCGTGGAAGGCCTTTGCTGAGCATCACGGATTACAACGTTTTCCACACAGGCCGTTGCGAGATGTTTTGGGTGTGTCAACTTGCGCATTTTCTGGTTCCTTCTCCATTCAAGCTCGTGATCTTCAGGAACCTGCCATTTGCATGTTGTTTCAGAGACACCGGTCTGGGGAAAAATCAAATCGCAACACCAGGGGAGGTGGGAATTGCTCCTTGCCACATTTCTTTTGGCCCAAAAGGGTTGTGCTCAGCCAATTTCATCCCTGATAAAGGTGATTCTAACCCGATGTTCGAGGGAATTCGAGTCATTTGCGCAGCGGTGTGTCGGTTTGCCCTTTGACCCGTTGTGGGTCCATTTGGCCATGGGCCAAAATCCCGTACCCCAGTGAACATCCCAATCCCCACTAAAATCGGTTCTTTTCATGGGTGGTGAATTCACCTACCCCAGGATGGGATGCCAAGACGGTTTTGAACACCACATCCATTTCAGTTTTTCAGTTGGTGAAATCAGCCAGACATGGCGCTGGGAGTTGCTCTTTCTGGCTTGGAGGGATTCTACGCCTCTGCAGGCTTGTCCTCTTCAATGAATTAGGCTGCCCTTGGAGCACATAATGGATTTTCTTCCGACAAGAGGGTACAGTTGGACCAACCCAGTGAGTGTTGGTGCTTGCGTTTGGCATGCCATGGCTCGGTATGATTCCCGTTTAGGTATCTGCCAGACAAACAGCTTGCCAAAGGGGAAGGAAAACCGGGCTGTGCCGAATGATGACGGAAGCTCTTTGGTTGTTCCAAACCCTCTCTGTTTTGGGATGAATGGTGATAGCAAGCTATCCGTTGTTCCTTCCGCACAAAAGCTCAAGGGAGACCAATGGTTTTCAAAAAGGAGGGGCTTTGCAAGAATGGAAAAACGATCACCCCTCAGAGTATGGGCGTGTCTTTTCGTGAGGGTACTCATTTGTTGGTGGTTTGGAAAGAGAAAGCAACAGGAGAGCCACCATTTTGGTTGCAAGGATCTCACCCGAGGCGCGCCAAGATGGAACCCCCCGCCCCCCTGGAGGAAGAAAGAAGGAGGGGGGGGTGTCCGATGTTTGGTTCCACTCGGGCAACCCAAAGAAAAAAGGAGCTCGGGCCGAGCTACTGGAGCTCAGCCGATGCGGAGCGACGCGGAGCGTGTGGATCCGACGATCGGTGGGTGAAAGCTTTTCACAGGAGGTACAAGTAGTCAGATCCGCAACGAGGGCCCTGTTGAGAACCGACTTTGCCTCAAATCCCACGAAGATCAAGTGATTTGGACAGTGAGACTGGTTTTCAGACGGCCATGAATAGTATGCTCCCTTGAACAAAGAACGTACAAGGGTTCCAGTTGTGGAAGGTGGTGGTTGATGAAACAGTCCAGTTGCCATGTCTCCAAAGCAAAACCTACTGACCTGGTTGATTGAGTGTCCCTTGGGGCCACTTCTGTGATGCCAACGGAAGAACTTCCGAATTTCGAATTCTCCCTTGGGGCCGTTCCCCTCGTTCCCCTCATTCTCACTGCTTGGTGATGTTTCAAGAACACTTTCACCCTCGGCACGGCTCGAAATTTTTGGATATCCACCAAGCCATCCAAAGCGGGTCCAAACAAAAAGCAACACCACATGCACAACAGCATACAACACCCACTTAAACATGCTTGGTTTCACCGCACTCGACTCGCGAGGTGGCGGCTACCACGTGGTGAAGAAAGCGTCGGGGGGCCTGGGCCGGCGACGCGCCGGATGCGGCGCCCGCTTCGAGCTGACCGAGTTGAGTTCTGCCAAAATGTCTTGGGAAGGCCACCCCAGGGTTCACTTGCTACCATATGGGTGCGCTCGTCTTTCGAGAGCACCTGCAATGCTTAAAGAAATTCACCTTCCCAGTTGATGGTTTGGTGGCTTGGACCTTTGGGTGTACCTTCATTTGGTGTCAAAAGGTACTGGGGTTCCAACCCCAGCACCACCAATCCAAACCATCAACTAATCCTGAAGGTCTGGGTGAAAAGATATTGGTATCCAGGGACTAGGGACCAGCTGTGCAGCCTGGTAGAGAGCCTGACCCTGTTTGGATTGCCAACAGGATAACCAGCTGGAGGGACCAACTCATTGTGCACACCTGATCCACCCATCTTTCTCATCTCGAAATGGGGACTGGTACTGATGGAAACAGCCTTATTTTGGGGTGGCTCCTTGGATATTGAAGGACTCATTCCCCACATTTGTCCTTTCAAGAGACACTTCAAGAGCTAAAGGACACAAGCCAAGGATAAGTTGCACCATGCACCTTTTTCCCCGGCATGTTCTTCACCCTTGTGTTGTTTGTTGCAATTGTGTATTGGGAGGCTATCACTCATACGTGAGCCCATTGCAGGTTCAGTTTTGTTTGTCCTTCCCAACAGGCACCCGGGGCTGACTTGGATGGTGGAAACAAGGGGACCTGCGGGAAACCAGTTGCTTTGGGAAGTGTGCTCTGTTAGACTTACAGAAAGTACATGGAGAAGCGGGACTTGTTGGACCTTTTTGGAGCATTCAAGACGAGAGATCAGTGTTTATGGTTGATTTAACAAGTATGTCCCACTATTTGTGCAGGTATTACGTATTCTGACCAGGGTAGGGTACTGAGAGCAAGGAGCATTTGGGGGATGGCTCACCAGCCAGAATAGAAATCTGCCAAACCATCCGCGCTCGCGAACCCCAGTCCTTGCGTTTTGCCCACTAAAGACGGAAGATGGGGGCCTCACTTTCTTCATCACAGAAGGGTGCGTCACCCGCACCCTGCTTTCCCACTCATGGAAGAGGTGGGCATGTACATCAAGCACCACTTCTCCTTTCAAAACAACCGCCGTGTTTGGGAATTGAACCTGACGTGTTTCTAGGGGAGAATTGATCGCGTGCCCACGCCCGGCTTCGACTGGGCGTGGGCTTCAAACACCCCTGTTGCAATTTGCAGAGTGAACTGGTCCAAGCCCACTTGACCATGGAAGACATGGATCGCGGGGGGGGGGGGGGCCTGAAGCTTCCTGAAGGCAAAAGAAACACACCAATGGGGTTTGGCGAAGAAGCGGAGCTGTTACAAAGCTGCGGGCGTTTTTGATGATACGCCAATGGTTGGCCCCTGGGATGAAAAATGTTTGCCACTACACTTCCCCAGACTAAGCTGGAAGCACCCCAGACCCCTTTGGAAGACTTGGTTCCATTCACAGAGGCCTTGTGGAAGCTTCCACGTTAGCCTGAGGGAGTGTACCTCATGAGGAACATTAAGTCTGCCCCACGAAAAATGACAAGATTTCTCCTCGAGGTATGCCAAACTTGTTCCCAAACTTGGGCAACAGGAGTACCGGGCATGGGTGTGTCTCAAAATTGGGGGCCCTTGAAAAAGAGTTTTCAAGGGACCCAAGACTCTTCCCTGAATTTTGCCAAGACATCATTGTAACATGCAGATAGGACGTTTTTGTTTTTGGTCATAAGAGGTAAATCACAGAATCCGTAGGAATTTGTTTTGTCATAAGACGCGTTTTTGTCATAAGAGGCTTTTGTCACAGGTGTGTTTGTCTTTCCAAATGATAGCTCCCACTCGCCCAGGTTCGAGCGGTGCATTCGAGCGGAGGATCCCAAGACGAAGGCGAAGCGGGACAGGAGCTCCTTCGGGGGACTGCGGGCTGCACAACGGAGAGGTAACGAACACACCTGTGACAAAAGCCTCTTATGACAAAAACGCGTCTTATGACAAAACAAATTCCTACGGATTCTGTGATTTACCTCTTATGACAAAAAACAAAAACGTCCTATCTGCATGTTACAAGCGGGACAGGGGCTCCTTCGGGGGACTGCGGGCTGCACAACGGAGAGCTAAATGGGTGGCTTGTCTTTTTCAGGCCCGACCCTAAATGGATCCGGTTTTGCTGTTGGTTTCCCCTTAAAAAAAAAAACAAACACACACACACACACACACACCGAAGAGGGGTACCCTGAAAAAATGGACAGACCCGGGTCGTCATACCAATGGAGGCCCAAATGACAACATCTGGGGGAGGCACAGATGTGGGAACGAAGCCCTCACGAGCCACCGATTCAGGGGTAAGAGGTAAGACAAGCGCTACTGTTTGCGGCTTGTGAATTCTGACTGCCCACAAACCATGATCCCATCGATGTGAACCCCCGACCTCAGTGGGCTTGCGGACCCTGGAAAATGGTTCATCTCTGTGCTGTTCCCTGGGCAACCTTTGCTGAGGGTTCAATCACTCTCTTTGTCCACTGGCAAAACAGGCCAAGGCCCAACAAGGCACAGGTGACCCCAATCAAGGCCGAACAAGGCCAAACCATGCGATCGCTGGAGCCTGGGCCGGGGGGGGGGGAGGGGGGGGGGGGGTGGGGGGATTGGGGGGATTGGGGGGATTGTGGGGTCCCATCCCTTACAAAGAGCGTTGCGACTCTTGGCCTGAGATTAAAAGCGCTAAAGCGTAGCAGTTGATGCCTCTTGGATGTATGACAAAAAGGCTTTGGTCTTTGGTTTCATGTACCAGGGCAACCCATTTTGGGGTTACTTTATTTTTGACCCACAGCAACTTGTTAAGAATGATGTAGCGTGATTTGGACAACTCTGTTCTGAGCATTCGCTGGCACCCTCTGCTGCCTGCAGCTTGCTTCTATGGGGGGCTATGCACGCCACCTAGGATACACTATATAGGGAAGTTGGCAGGGATGGGCCGCCTCATATAGTTCCATTGGGTAGACATCACCTTTTGGTTGCCAATGTTAATTGAGCCAATAGACTTTCTTTTGGCTGGGGTGAGGCTGGAAGGGGACAAACAAAAAGCCTTTGCAATCAGCCCCGCTTCGGCGGTTCTTTGTTCTTTGTTGTTGATGTCCTTTGTATTGGTTGGTGTCCCGCTTCCGCTAAGAACGACACAAAGGTCCTCTAGCCAACACGTCACACTAAACCGGGCTGGTTGCTGGGATTTTTGGATGAGGAAAGCAAAGGCTTGTTTCCGGGGAGTCCTCTTTCCACACCCAAATTGTTGGAGAGGCGCGCTCGACGCATGTTAGACACTTCCCGTTCGCCCCTCCTCAGCTTCGGCCAGTGGCCAGTTGTATGACCGTACTAGCCTTTCAACCTTCTTCACATGAATCACACGCGATTTCCAGCTGATGTAGAGGATGGATGTGTTGGTGTTTTTTGTGTTTGTTTCAAGACGCCCTGACCAGTGAAAAGAGGGCTTGCTTCATTTTGTCCGAGAAAAGTCAAATACGGGTCAAGTGCAGAGCTCTTTTGTTTCCTGAAGAGGGCACCCTCCAAGAAACATGCACGTGCACAGGCTCTCAATCCAAGCGGAAACTCTTCCGGAAATTGGTGGTGCGTGAAACCGCGCCCTCTCACTTTTTTTGCCGGGAGGGTGCAGAAGTCGACGCGAAGACGCCAGGCGGACATCCGTGAGAAGTATGTGCAGGAGAAGCTGCTCCCGTCGGTGGGGCAGCCCAGATAGGCAAAAGATCGGGCCGGGGGCGGGGGGGGGGGGGGGGCAAAGTTTGGGTTGTTTGAAGGGGAACAAGACTTGCTGGTGCGATACGTAGGGAATCATTGCCTCATTCCCTGCTGAGCACCAGCAAGACAGCAAGAAGAGTGCACCGGCGCCACCATCACTCGCCACGAAAGAACATCCACTTTCAGGGGTTGTTTTGAGGGTACCCTGACCGCCCGATTTTAAGACACACCCACATGATAGTTGCTGATTCCACTGTGAGGCCACAGGAGTTGTGGCAGTCAGGTAGTCTTAGGTTCCAAAGGGCCACCCTTAAGCCTCAGCGCCTTGGAAATTGTTTCGTGAGCCCTTTGCTCACATAGCACCCCTTTGGGGAGCCCTTCTGGAGCGGTTCGATCGCGGATGTAAAGGCCTCGGCAGTCGAACGAAGCACTCGGGCTTAGTAACTTGGTGGCTCCCAGCTATTCGGTTCCCTAGGTTTTCAGGTTTTTTGTTGGTTTAGTGGAGGTTTCCATGTTGCCCACTAAAAGTTAGACTTGTTGCAGGGGATCTGAGGACGGCCTAGGTGAGTAAGCCATTGATTCTACATCAACCCAACCCGGGGTACCAGTGGTTCATTGGGTTTTTGGGGGGTTCATTGATCTGATGTTCCAATGAAAGGCAAACAAAAGCAACAGGTTGTTAAAGCTCGCTCCAGTGCAGAATTCCACGGCGGGACCCTGCCAAGCGGGACAGATTCCCGAAATGGCCAGCATGTCAGCTTACATGTGTCGCTGTATAGGTGCCCCAGTGTTTGGCAACCCTGGCGCAAAATGCCTCATCAGAGGATCAAAGTGGGCCGAAGTAAACACATGCCTGCCAAAACAAACCGCCCAGTAGCAAGCCGTGTCTTTGGTTTGCTAACTTCACCCAACTCCTCTTCCTGATTGAGACGCGCGAAACAATTCCGTGCGCCGCTGCCTGCTGCTTGCTTTTATTATGCGTGTCCGTGGCGATGTCAACGACTTATAGTGCACTGAACTGCTCGTAGCCCCCCAAACAATACTAGCGTGTAAGGGTACGAAGGTTTCATACTGTGGATAGACAAAATCCTGCACCACCTAAGAGATGGTCCCCCTGTAAATACCAATCAACAATGGTTTCCCATAGAATGAGCGGTGTGAACGGGTTCGTCCATCCACAGTACAGGGTGATTTCAGCCCAAGTGGCCTTTGTGAAACTATTTCGTAAACCTGTTGAGTGAGCCTCACCTTCCAATCATGGAAACTGACGGGATTTCCTCTTGGGGATCTCCCCCGATCGTCCACTTCCATTGGACAACTCCGCAGATTAACCTGGGACCAACAGCAAAAAGCACGAATTGTGAAGGCAACTCCTTTTGGGAAAAGCAACATGTGAAGGAACCTCCCTTTGGGGGACCCCCTTTTTGGTTCCTTCCCTTGGTTTGTGAAGTAGCCACGTTGAGAGGTGGCGCGTCAACAGGACCGGACTTCCCGACTTCCCCCGGCTCCATGGGGGGCGGTGCGCGATTTTTGCCGTGCAAAACGGAGCTTTCGGGACCTGAAGCGGGCAAAAGCTGTGGGCAAATGCTGGAACTGTGTCAGGAGACGGAGGTTTGCTTCTTTCTTGGGGGGGGGGTCTGAATCAACAACCAACATTCTGGTTTGGTGGGCTCAGTAATTTCTTTTTTTCTACCAGGGTCACTGGCCAAGTGGGTCTTGGGTATTGCTCATGGTTTTGAATTGACATCGCCAATCAGAAGCCTGGTGAGTTTCCATTCGCTCTGGGGTGGTGATTTGTTTGATGATTTGGAGTGGTTTGGGGGGGTTAGGAACTACAAAAACTTCCCCTTTGGGTTGGTCTAAACATCACCTTTTGGGACAGAAACAAAAAGTGAGTTTCCTTTTGGAGTGCAGCTAGGGGGTTCATCCTGAAAAAGACATAATTTCAAAGGCTGCCACAAGACGCGAGCGGCATGCCCGATCTCACTTGCCCAGCTCGCATCGAGCCTGCAGCCTTTGGTTTCCCCGATCTGTTCCAATTTTTTCGGTTTTCCAACGGAAAGCCTTTTCTGTCCAGGTCCTGTAGGCAAGTGAAGGAACAGGTAGCGTAGCTCGTTTGGGAATTTGAGCCAGAGGGGAGGTTTGTTTTTCCCAGGCTCCAAACATCCAAGATTGCACACCTATCACTGCAGGTTTCATGAAAAGGAACACCTCATGTCCCCAGTTTCCGGATGCCACATGTGTTTGGAAGATCTCTTTTCAGTTATAGACAAACCTTTCTCTGCCCACTTTTACTTCAGAAACTGAATCCGAAAACTGGGGTGCTTTCCCAGGTGTTTGAGGCAACTTTCCCAGCCCACCTTGCAAGCGTTGCTTTAAAGAACCTGGACTCATGGTTTTCATTTTCTTGAATCGAGAGATGGCGAAAAAACAATTGATATTCGATCTTGTATGACGTTTATCCATTCATACAAATGTGAACCTTCTTTGTGAAATCATTCGAAGCCCATGTTGTTTATGAAAGGTGGCCTTTCACAAGAATCTTAAAGTGGATAGGCGAAATCCTGCACCACTGTTCAGAAACCCTGAACGATTGGATTCCCGCATAAATGCCAACCAGCGTTGGTTTGAACCATGGTTTCAACATGGTGTTGTCTCGGATTTCGAAACCAACAACTAGAACCGCGTCACCCTGGCTCTTGAATTTTGAGCCACAGCCAAGTGGTTTTTGGTGAAACAATTCAACACGTTGAGTGGGCACCACCACCTGCCAATGATTGGAAGCTGACGTGATTTCGTCTTGGGAATCCCCAGCCCCAATCGCAATCGTCCACTTCCGTTGGACAACTCCGCAGATTAACATGGGGCCAAAAAACAAGCACCAATTGTGAAGGGACCTCCTTTTGGGGAACCTTTTTGGTTCCTTCCCTTCTCACTGGCACTATATGGGGCCAAAACAACATCCACCTGGCATAAGGATCCACTTGGTAGTTCCCTTCTCACCTCGGCGAGGGTTGCATGCCACGTTCGACTCGGTCGGTGAGGTGAACTTGCTGAAGATCATCGGGCCGTGCCACACGGCCACTTGGGGCCAAGCGGAAGGGTGTGGCTTCGTTTGGGTGGCTCGTCTTTTTGGAGGTTGGAGCCCCCAAAATGGCCGGGTTTCGTTTTGGTTTCAAATTTCAAGCCAACGCAACAAGGGGTGGCCCAAACAATACACACCCATTTGCCATTTCCGAGATTTCGCTGAATTGATGGATACCTTTTTGCTTTGCCAGAGGTAGCGGAAACCTCAATTTGACTTGAAGTCTGGGCAAGTATTTTGCCCCACACGGTTTTGGGAAGTTGCCATTACTTTTCAGGGTGGACGCCAACTGAATATGGCTATTCGTTCAAATGGGGACCACCTCAGTTGAACAAATGCTCATGTAATCGAGAAACTGAAGTCCTGCAATCAACGACCCCGTATGAGGATTTGTGTCAAATTTGGAGCCCCCTTTCCGATGGCAGCTTTGGAATGTTCGCTTCACTTGCATTTTGCCTGGTGCGACTCCGCTATTTCTTCCTGAGGTGATCAGGGTTTGGGCAGCCTTTGCACCGAAACCGCTTTTGTCAGGGTCCCCCACCAATGGACACTTAGAGTATCTGTTGCAAGAACCGTAAAAAAAAAAAAAAAAAAAAAAAACGAATGAAGCAGGTTGCAAAAGTCGAACCGAAGTGTCTATCATGCGTTCCCCACCCCCCCCACCCCTTCCCCCGCCCCCATTTTGACGAACACACAGCTCAGCTCAGAGGTGTCGTCCTTCCTGAACATCAGCTCAGTAGTGATGACCAAGTGGGAAGAGGCGGCCTGAGGTTTGGTTTTCCTCGTCGAGTTCGCCAGGAGGTTTGGTTTGCTTGGTACCGAAGAGAGCCCAAACAGACTTGTTTGCAGAGTGGATTAAGAATGCTACACATTGAAAAGCTTACCCAACCCATGGTTGTCGTTGGGAAACATTTTACATTTTGGCTTATTGTGGTTTAGTGGTTGAAATCAAAATCCACTTACCTGCTAAAATTTTGGGTTGAATTTTTGCTCCCCTAAGCCAACGTCAACCCAGAACCCTTTGCAATGCATCCGATCAACTCGGCCTTTTCATCCGATTCCGGAGCTCTGGCTCCGAATGTGTGTTACCAGGATCCGTTGAGGAATGAATTGGGGATCCATGGCCCACCGCTGCGAGTCAAGACATAGGGAGTTTTTGATCATTCGCTCGATCAAGTATCAGTTTAAGTGCAATGGCCACAGAATTTTACTGGTTGGAATACCTTCCCATTTTTGTGGTGGACATAAATGCCCGGCCAAATGATGTCCATTAAAGGGTGCTTACTTAGAATTCATGTCCGATATGCGAAGTGCTTGCGGCCAACATCATCAGCGACCTGGTCCCTTTTTCCTATCCGGGAAGGTGAGAGGGAGCCTACGACAGACTCGAAGCCGAGTGGGGAGTTTCGATTTTTGGGGTTTGCTGACATTGAGCACCCCCTTTTGCATACTGCATAAGGGAAAACAATCGGAAACCTCTCTTTCTCAGGGGAATTTCACAAACTTCACTTACTGTAGTTGGAAACATCAGTTTCCATTTTCCTGCCTTTGTTGGCTGTTTTTGTGTTCACAGGATTGAACATGAAGCTTAACCTTGGGGTGTTTAATCCACACCAAAAGGACCCCCCAAAAATATATGTAATATATATATATATACACATCTTAATCTATGTGCCCGTTTATCAATTTTCTACAAGGAAGCCAGCAAACCAGGGGCTCGTACCAGCGCTTCATACACGGGTCTGTAAAAGCTGCCATGGTCAAGCACCGGTGCCTCTACGTGGATGGTGATTCACCTGGTAGGATCCTTAGTACATGGTTGTTGTTGGGAACCATTTTACATTTTTGCTTATTGTGGTTTAGTGGGAAATCCCCAGATACCTGCTAAAAAAAATAAGTTTGTGCTCTCTTTCAACGTCAACTAAGAGTGGCCATTGGTTGTGATCCCTAAGAAAAATGTGAGCATAGGCCGTAGAAAGAAGTTTTAACCAAGTGGCACGTGTGGGTTGAACATCCAAGTAGGGATTCCCTCTTTTTCTGGCTGTCTTTGAAACCACCTTGAAAAGAGCCGGCCCGATACATGTCTAAACATGTCCAATACTGCTTCAGAGGCATAGTGAGGAGACTCACGAGAAGGTCATGATCCTGAATGGTGCTAAATGGTCCTGAATGGTGCTTAAGAGATTGCTCTGCCCCGCCCTGCTCGGAATCAGCATATGGCGGTTTGTTTTTGAGAGTACCATTTTCGCCTTGCCTTTTTTTACGGGAAACCAAAAGGGACGCCTGCCGCTTTGTTTCGTCCAACTCCCCCCGAGCAGTACATTCAGACTGGCCCATTTTATAGCGAGCTCACCGATTCGGGGGTAGAACGAGGGAAGGCCATGATTTGAAGGTCAACTTGACTTGGGGATCCGATTCTTACTCCAGCTTTTGGAGTTACTGTCAAATTCCAATTCGTACTCCAGCTTTTGGAATGAAACTCGTAAAACTTGCAGATGTATTTGCTGTCCATGGAGGAGTTAAGCATTGCGGTATCCAATGGTTGCCACATTGGCTCGAGCAAAATCCTTGGTTTTTCTCTTGCTGGTGCCTAAAAAAAACCACCCAAGTGGTGGTTTCCCTTTCAGGGGGAAGCAAAGCCTGGGTTCATCCAACATTCCCTGCCGATCGCAAGTGATCCTAACTCCGGGGGTGCTTCAAATGAATCCACAAGGCCTGATGTTCATCCCCCTCTCCCCAAAAACGGGTATCTACCCCTTATAAAGTGGGTGAAAAAAAACACGGAAGCCAAGGAACCGGTATCCAGGGGTATGTACTTCCACCCTTATCCTAGAATTTAACTAGTGGGTTTTCCATTAAGCCACTAAAAGTTAGTCAACTTTTAGGGGAGCAGAAAGCACCCGGGGAAGTCAACCAATCAAAAAAGGATGCCCATTTCCCATGGAAATCCACTGGGCATCTGAGATCCGGGTGTTGGAATTTTGACCCAATCTCAGGGTTCCTTTTTTTGACAGCCCCCAAGGTGGACTTCAACCCGTCGCTGGGTTTAATATGAGGGCTGGGAGGGGGGGGGGGAGCCCCAATAAGGCCTTATTAGGGGCTTTATTTGGGGCTTATTTGGGCTCCCTCCCCCACCCCTCACCCCCAGCCCCCATGATTTACGTCTGCACGTCATCCCACGATTTAAATCTACTTCCACCCTTATCAGGGTCTTCCATTAATTTACTAAAAGTTAGTCACTCTTAGGGGAGCAGATTTCGCAGCCGAGAATTTTTCGCGTGGAAGTTTCGGTAAAAAAATCGGCGGAGACTTCGGAGGCCTTGGGGAAGATCCTGCTGGTCTTCACCTATGGCTCTGGCTGCGCAAGCCAGGGCCTTCGGGGCGACTGGCGATGACTACGGCCAGGAGGTTTTGTCCGTTTGGTTTATCCCCTGTTTTAAGGCGAACCAAAAGGGGGTCCAGGGGTTTGGGAGCCGGGGGTGTGGGATAAAACTCCCAACATGAGTGTGTTCTGGTTGGATCTTTCTACTTAAACTTGTTGGTTGAAACCGGTGGGAGCTTCCAACGGACATACAAACAGTCAAACACTTTTTGCAGAGGGGTCGACAGCAACATGCAAGGTGTAAAAAAGGTTTAACAAATTCTTCGCACGATTGAGCAACCCACGCCTTCCCGCTGCCTTTTTAAGACCAATCTTTCGACGAAACCATGAGTTGCCGCCTGACTAGTATACCTGGTAATGGACTCGGTCAGAGCTAAAAGGAAAGCAACTTGTTTATAGTAGCTTTTCCCCAATTGGTGGTTCGGATTGGTGGCTAAGGGATTTGAAACTTTGGTTCTCGTGGGTAAATGAGCAGCTAGCAATCCACTCCACTAATTCAAGCCACCGATTCGAAGCCGAAGCACCCAATTCTAGCCACCGATTGGAGGGAAGCTCCGGGTACCAAGTCGCAGAAAACTTGCGGAGCTCCAGGCTCCATGTACCAGTTGCGCTTCGATGACATCGCCTGGCCTGGGGCCTCGAGGACTCAAGAAAACGAGGGGTTTTCAGGGGGATAGGTTTGGGACTGGGATAGGTAAGTGTTGCGCGTGTTTTTCTTTCCGCTTCTCTTTTTAAGCATGTTAAGCATACCATGGGAAATGTTTTCTTTGTTTTTTTGTTAAACATATCAAGTATAACAAAAACTGCTTGGGCTAAAAAATGAAAGATATCAGGCATCAAAGAGAAACTCAGCGCTATTCTCAAAGCAACTGCGTGGAAGGAAGGAAGGAAGGAAGGAAGGAAGGAAGGAAGGAAGGAAGGAAGGAAGGAAGGAAGGAAGGAAGGAAGGAAGGAAGGAAGGAAGGAAGGAAGGAAGGAAGGAAGAAGGAAGGAAGGAAGGGGAGGGAGGGAGGGAGGGAGGGAGGGAGGGAGGGAGGGAGGGAGGGAGGAAGGGAGGAAGCGAGGAAGCGAGGAAGCGAGGGAGGGAGGGAGGGAGGGAGGGAGGGAGGGAAGGCAGGAAGGGCTGTTGTGCTTGCTGCACTGGGCCCCAACCCCCTTGCCTTTTTTGAATAGCTGCGCGCTATATAGTTCTTACCTGGATGACGCCGTTGTTTGTGAGTGCTCCAGTCAGGGGGATGTGAACTATATTTCAAATAGTCGAGAAGAACTTATTAGGCATCACCCCTCGGCAAACAGTACCGGATTCATTTTCTCAGTCTGTCAACTTCAGCCCACAAAACAAGGGTCCGAACCACCCTGGGAGCTGTTATTAGTTCTCTTCCCGTTGTTGGGAAGCAACCGCACTACGCATATACCCGGCGCTTACTTTGGTCATGTCGATACTGAAGGTATCCAGAAAATGCGCGACATTTGTGTGTTGCCGGGTGTCCAGTTCAACATCCACTTTGTTGAAGTCAATGCACATCTTGCAGGGCGCCCCATGCGTCTTGAACTCCAAGTTTGGAGAGGTCGGCAAGACCTGGACCGACAAAGTGTGCTGAACTTGTCTTGTTGTATGCCACGACAAAATGGATGTGCTCCTGTTTTAGTGTTTCTCCGAGATCTCTTTTTTCCGCCTGGTTATGACGAGCTTGTTTTTTGCACGCGTCTGTTTAGCGTTGCTCGTTTCTGTGTATTGAGCCAGTCGTTGTATTTTTCACGATTTGGAGGGATCCTTTGCAACTGCCGCTTCATGTTCAAAGGCTTTCTTATGTGATGCATGTGTCGGGAGGAAAAGAGCGCATGTTGGGGGCTGAGCAGTTGAAGCCAGGGGCTTCTCCGAGGTTTGACCCGCTGGCGGTGTGGAAGGTGAAGTGGTTCTACCGAAGTGCCGCGGGACCCGGAGAACAAGGGCGTGTGAGCCAATTGCAAGGGGCTGGGGGGATCCAGGTTTGCTTTGAAAGAGGGAGCTAAGGCGATATGGTTGGATCCTTGAGCTTTCTCTTTTTGGTTCAAGCAGGTGGGATTTTCCGACTTGGACCCAGTGGACAGCTTGTTGCAGAGGGGTGGATTCAGCAGCTTGAATCCTTGTGCCAGATGACCAGATGGTGGTTTGCAGCTTGTACTGAGCTGCTGCCCCACGCGTTCCAGATTCGGATCGGGGCGAGCCGCAATGTGGAACGCAGAACTGCCAGCAGTGCCCTTCTCTCCCCTTTTTTGGCTGGGAGAGCAAGCCCCTGCTAAAATAGACTGCAGAAAAAATCGGGTTCCCTGATTCAATCCTCTCCACTGGAGGACCTAGGCTAGCTGATCTGGAGCTCTGGGGATTATTTCGAGCTCACCGGTGAAGAAGGGCCTTTGCTGAAAGATTCCCTGGTCTTGTTGGTTCGGCTGGTGGTTCCTTAGGTTGTGCGCTGTTTTTGGTTGGCTTAGTGGTTGGGTTTCCATTTAACCCACTAAAAGTTTCAACTTTCAGCACGAAATCTGAGGACAGCCCAGCGATTTCCACGAAGATGACTTGGGCTGGCAGACTGGTTGATGTCCCCCAGAAACGATCCGTGGGTTTGAGTCTACCTGGGTCCAGACATGGAATCCTAGGAAGATACCTACGCTCTTGTTCGAAATCGCCGGAAAGCGGGCACATTGGCGGGTCCTTGTCACTCCTTTTGTTCTCCTTTCCCGGACCAGGTGTCTGCCCAAGCAATGTTAGCGGCCACACAAGGAACCCCAAAACCGATTGTGTCTGCCCAAGCAATGTTAGCGGCCACACAAGGAACCCCAAAAACGATTGTGTCTGCCCAACCAATGTTAGCGGCCACAAAACCGATGGCTCGAAACGGGAGGGTTCAGGCTCCAGGCGAAGTTGCAGGAATGTCAAGAAGCTCACGGAACCAAGCCGTTTCGTGAGGCCATCCACGTGAGCCCTGAGCTGAAGATGCACCAGGCGCGCATCCAGGGCTACCCCGATCCAGGAGCAGGGAAATGGCAAGCAACAGCCGAGCCACAGACCAAACCAGCAGCCGGGGTGAACGCAACGGATCACTTGACGAAGTAACTTGGCTGGCGAACTAGCTAGCTAGCAAATGAGGCAGCTAAGCGCATAGACAAGCCGACCAGGCACAAGAGTTGGCTGGATGAGTTGCACCTGAGGTGTCAAAAGCGGATTTTGGGGGAACGTGGATAGCTAAGCGGCAAACAGATTCGCTTTTTTCCGGGCAAAGACCACCCCACTCCCAGCTGATGCAGAGGTTCTTGTGATTTCCCGCTGACTTTGGGGGTGTTTGTTTGTTTCGGAGGCCCCGAGTGAGCAGTTCTCGCCGATGTTCTCACGATTCTTGAGGGAGCCATGACCATAAACTATATATCCTCGCCCTCGCGAAGAAAAAAAACGCGATTTGGACCTCCCCCCCTCCTTCGACCTGCAAGAAAAGGAGAGAAAACCGGCACCTTGGTGAATTTCGACCATGAACATCACAGGACGCACGAAACCCCGGAGCGTGAAGTGTTCGATTCCAATCCGAAGCACCGGGTCCCCGAAACCAACGACTGGCAGCAGCTCTTTTCTGCTGAAAACCTGTCAAGGGATGCATTTTGGAGTATAGATCTTGTGTGTGTTTTGGTGGAGGGTATCCTTTGTGGGCGATTTGGGGGTGTCGTTTTTTCATGGTACCCTTTTTGGGGTGGTTTTCAGGAACACCGCCTGTTTGTGGGGTCCTCCTATTTTGACACGCTTCCCAAGCTCCTCAATTCATCCGCATGGATCATGGGCCTGTACGGACTTTGGGTTAGTACTGCCCAAACGAACATGAAACCACAAAAACACACAAACATGGAACCAGAAACTCCAAGAGAGCGCAATATGCCCAAGCTAAAGTAACGTCCTGTAAACCATGGATGGCAGGTTGTTTGGTTTGGGTTTTCCGCGGTCAAAGTATCGAGTTGAGGCTCGACCGGCTTTCTCCTGTTTTTTTTGGGGGGTCCAATCATGAGGAGGTTGGGTAAACAGTGGCTAGGTCTCCCAGTGGTGCCCTGTTCCCCTTTCTTTTTGGAGGGGAGGTTTCCCAACTAAAATAGACTACAGAAAAAAGGGTACCCTTATTCTATCCTCGCTACTGGAGGACCTAGGTGGTTGAAAAACGGGTGGTTGGCCGCACTTCAAGCAAATGCATGAGCGTTTTGTCAGGCCCAAGGCAAGCAGGGCGTCAGTTGCTTGTTGTTTGTTCTGTTTGTCTTTAGTGGGGGAGTGCCTCCCAAAGAACAAATTGCTTTGGTGCACTGGGTGGGAAGCAACAGATTCCTAGCTTTCCCGAATGGCCCCGTGTATTTTGTCAGGTTTCCAGGATATCCAGCCGGATTGAAGACCTCGGTTTGTACTCCAGGCACTTGGCGCTTGCGATCCGGCTGAGCGATTCGATTCGCCAGGTCTACATTGACACCTGGATGAAGTTTGACTACAGGCGGGGGTGTGACGGTCTGAAGGCTTCGTCCCTTTGCTGTTTTCCGTTTGCGCCAGCTAAGGAGAGGGGGTCATGTTTTTGACTTGCCATGGCCAGTGAAAAGGTAAGTGGTGTTGGGTGGGGATTTTCAGATAACACTCAAAGCAAGTTCTTATTCAGAATCATACGGCCAAAGCTTATAGACGGGTATGCCCTTTTTAACCGGGACCCTCCAGACTCGACCATTTGTTTTTTCATTTATCCATTCTCACCCGGGTGTGTGAAAAATGGCAAGGGGTTTCTTGCACCGGGAGAACTGCTTGGCAGATCAACCAGACTGAAACACGTGGAGCAAATATAAATCCAGGCAAAAAGCACATGGCGAACAGATGATGTTGAAAGCCTCCCACCAATAGCATGATGTTGCTTAACCAGTTTATGCTATCATAGTGTAAAACAAGAAATTGGCGTGTCCCAAAATAGGGAATTCCCCCCCCCCCCAAATGGGCGGCTTCCTCTTGTCCCTGCCCAAAACAAAAAACACCCATATTAATTTTCAACACCGCAAGGAGCCTAGGTGTCCTTTTTGGTCATTTTGGTAAAGAAAAATAGATGGCGATTCCTGGTTTACCTGGTTTCATCTACCAGTGCCCTGGTTATTTCCCCTAAAAGGACACCTATGGCAAGGACCCAGCGGCCGGGTGCGTCAACCGCCCGCTCGCGTCTCTCAGACTCCAAAGGCCCTATGGCCGCATCTCCTTCGGCTTCGGCTACGACAGCTACGAGCTGGAGATCCGCATCGAGAGTCGCGTCGACCGTTTGGCACATTGGAAAAGGGAGCTGGCACCGGCAGTTTGCCCCTAAAAAATGACACACCCAGGTTGGCTCCAGAGGGGTCCGTTTTGCGCTTGGAAATAACTTGTATGGCCTGCTGTGGTTCCTGTGGGTTTCCTTTTGGAGGTATGCGGTTCACTCGTCCCAAAAGGCGAGCTTGTGGGGGGCCGTGTTTTTGGCTTGGAGAAAAACTCAGGACTCGTGGCCGCTGCAGACACATGGTGTTTTGTTTCCAGCGACCTCACCATCATTTTGCCAAGGGATGTTAGGACTTTGACTTTTTGCCAACTCATGGGTTTTCCGTATTAAACCACTAACAGTTAAACTTTTAGCAGGGGAGCAGATTTCGCAGCCGAGTTCAACCTATGGGCCCGGACAAAATGTTAAGGCCAGACAAGTTGAGAGCAGACATACTGTGGATAGACGACACCCTCTTAGGCACCACCTAGGAAGCCCTGGAATTATTGGTTCCCCGGTAAATACCGACCAAGCATGGTTTCCCATGGTTTTAAAGTGGTGCGAAATTGATTTCGTCCATCCACAGTATGACCCTAACTTGCCTTTGTCTTTAAACAGCATGGGTCAAATGGGCGTTTCTCTCAAAAAGATGGTTGGCTTGGGGACCCTTTTGGTTCCTTTTGGTTGCCCCCTCTCGCCATCCACAACGGGGGTCTGCCAAGTGCCCGTCAACACACTCCCGAAGTTGAGAACTGCAAGTTCCGACCATTTTCCGGGCAACGCACTCAAGTGGTTGCAAGAAAGCACGCAAAAGCACGCCCATAATTTGTGCCATGGTCGTTTTGACCGGTTCCTTGGCTCGGTGCTCACAGGGATGGTCATGGGCCATAAAAGGAGTTTTGACCAACCCTGCTGCTCACGCCAATATGGCCGGGGCAGACACAGGCAGATCGAACAAAAGGAGACCAAAAGGAGTTTTGACCATGGCACATGTCCAATGGTCCAACATGATCATCTTAAGGATGGGAAGCCACTGAAGCGGGGACGGACCGCTTTGGTCCGTGCTTCCATTGGCAAATGGAGGGGGGAGGCCATTCGTTGGCGTCGCGTCTGGTGACCCGTGGGCATGGAAGGGAAGAAGTGTTAACCCTTCCTAGGAAACAGAAAGAACAAACTTTAGCGGCCGATGAATGAATGAATGAATGGAATGGAATGGAATTGAATTGAACTGAATTGAATGGATTAGTCAAGTGAAGTGAAGTGACATGAAATTATTGAACTGAATTGACATAAAATGAAAGTTGAAATTCCATGGAATGAAAGAAAAAATGAATCAATGGTTGAAATGAATGAACGAATGAATGAATGGATGAATGAATGAATGAATGAATGAATGAATGAATGAATGAATGAATCAATGCATGAATGAATGAATGCATGAATGCATGAATGCATGAATGAATGAATGAATGAATGAATGGATGCATGAATGAATGAATGAATGAATGAATGAATGAATGAATGAATGAATGAATGATGTAATGAATGGACTGAATGAATGAAATGAAATGAATGAAATGAAATGAAATGAAATGAAATGAAATGAAATGAAATGAAATGAAATGAAATGAAATGAAATGAAATGAAATGAACTAAAATGAATGAATGAATGAATGAATGAATGCATGCATGCATGCATGCATGCATGAATGAATGAATGAATGAATGAATGAATGAATGGATGGATGGATGGATGGAATGTAATGAATGGAATGAATGAAGTGAAATGAAATGAAATGAAATGAAATGAAATGAAATGAAATGAAATGAAATGAAACGAATGCATGCATGCATGCATGAAGGAAGGAATGAATGAGTTAATGCATGAATGAATGAATGAAATGAACGAATGAATGAATGCATGCATGCATGCATGAATGAATGAATGAATGAATTAATGAATGAATGAATGAATGAATGAATGAATGAATGAATGAATGAATGAATGAATGAATGAATGAATGAATGAATGAATGAATGAATGATGTAATGAATGGACTGAATGAATGAAATGAAATCAATGAAATGAATGAAATGAAATGAAATGAAATGACATGACATGAAATGAAATGAAATGAAATGAAATGAAATGAAATGAAATGAAATGAAATGAAATGAACTGAAATGAAATGAAATGAAAGAATGAAATGAATGAATGAATGAATGAATGAATGAATGAATGAATGAATGAATGAATGAATGAATGAATGAATGAATGAAATGAATGAATGAATGAATGAATGAATGAATGAATGAATGAATGAATGAATGAATGAATGAATGAATGAATGAATGAATGAATGAATGAATGAATGAATGAATGAATGAATGAATGAATGAATGAATGAATGAATGAATGAATGAATGATGAGTGAGTGAGTGAGTGAGTGAGTGAGTGAGTGAGTGAGTGAGTGAGTGAGTGAGTGAGTGAGTGAATGAAATGAAATGAATGGATGGATGGATGGATGGATGGATGGATGGATGGATGGATGGATGGATGGATGGATGGATGGATGGATGGATGGATGGATGGATGGATGGATGGATGAATGCATGAATGAATGGATGAATGAATGAACGAACAAACGAACGACATAATAAATGACATGAAATGAATGAAGCCAATGAATGAAGCCAATGAATGAAGCCAATGAATGAAGCCATGTAACTTACAACCCCACCAAAAAAGCAATCAAACCCTTTTCGGCGGATTTGAAGGACGCCTACTACCTGCTTGAGATCGACCCCTGGGGCCGGCGCTTCTACCACCGGGGCGGCATGCGCACTGGCGCGGGCGCCCGGATGGTAGAAGCGCCGTCGGATCACCGGCCGAGTTCTTGGACCTTCTATGCCCTAGGGTTCAACCAGACACGATTTGCATGAGCATCCTTAGGTTCATGGGGGCTTTTTTCTGGAGGGAGGGTGGGAGGGAACCCAAATAAGCCCTAAATAACGCCTTATTAAGGGCTTATTTGGGCTCCCTCCCCCTCCCTCCCCCCCAGCCCCCATGACAGGTAAATCAGGTTGGTTATCACGAAAGCTAGCTTTAGCTAGCTGAAGTTTCTCCTTGCGTAAGCAAGGCAAGGGGCTGTAATGCCGAAAGATTGGGTTTATCAATTATTTACACCGATTGTTTTAATGGCAGTTTGAATCCCGGGGTATTTTGAGGCTCCTCCTTTTTGGGGAAAAAGGGAAACAAAACCTTATTTTGGGGGGTCCCCTAGAACAAGACACACTCACAGATGGTACTTTGGATGGTTGCGAAATTTGTCGCGAAATGAAACCAATGGAATGAAATTTGCACGTTTGTTGGTATTCATGTTGGAGAATTGCGTTATTGTGTTGGGTTTGTTTACGGTGGTGCAAAATGGATTTCGTCCATCCACAGTATGGATGGCTCGTCTTTAGTTGAGGGTACCGGGTGGTTAAAGGGAAACCAAGCGGAAAAAACAAAATCTTTTTGGGGCACCCCCGCAAGAGTCAAGCCCAGTTGTTGGGTTGTGCTCTTTAGGGCACCCACTGAGGTTGCGGTAAAAGGAACACCACAAGACAACTCTTGCCATCGAAAGAGTTCCGATTCCCACTTTGACCCGTTGACCCGTGTTTCCCCTGCATCACACGAGAAACTTGCCTAAAACTAGTCCACCAATTGATGGTTCAACCGCTTTCAACAGGGGAGGTAATGTTCCGGGAAGGGAGACTGGCTTCTCTTCAAGTTCCGTTTTCTCCTTTTTTTGGCTGGATGTGGGGGAGTTTTTTTTTGCAAAGTGGTACTCGTTTTTCTGCGTATGGGAGTGGGGCCGTGCTATCGGCCAACGGCAAGGGAGAAGCAAACGAGCAGGCAGCCAGTTTACCACAAGCTGAGCAAAAGGGCAATTGCCGGTCAGGACAGGCGTGTTTGAATCATCGTCATTGGTTGCAAAGCACGGCACGTTGAACGATGGAACCGTTCGACTGCGGGTCCCCAGAAGATCAGCAGTTGCGTTTGATTACTTAAATGATACGATCCAGAATCTTGAAATCGGGCCAGCGGGTACAGGAACTCATTTAGAAAGAAATTTGCGCCAAGAAGTTTGCCTTTTTTCTCCGCACGCACAGCAATCGAATGTGATATTTTTTTTCAGTGTTGCATTCGCAGGACTGCGAGTTCTTTTGCCTTTCCGGTCGTTCGGTTATGACCCCTTTGCAAGACCACCTCCAGATCCGAATCCTTTTTGTGTTTTGCCACGGGGTCTGGGGGCCCAACATGCGCGACGGGTGCATCATGGCAGAGATGAATCCATTCGCCTCAAACCGCAACTCCCACTTATCTTTGGCCACGGGCGAGTTTTCTTCTTTTACACTCTAGGTCCACCAGTAGTGCTTTTTCTCACCCCTTTTTTGGGGGAGGGTTACTAAAATAGACAACCGGAAAAAAAAGAAAACATCGGGTACCAACTTATTCTAACCTCTCAAATCTGGAGGACCTAGCAGTGCTGTGGGGCCTTTCAAAACCCAACCGGCAAAAGCGTTTAAAGAACTTTGGGGGGCTGTGCCTTCTGCCAGGGAGACCGGTCAGGAGTTAGTATGCCCCCTGCGAAACGATGACATGCACAAATCGAGACACCGAACTTGGGAGCAACATATCTTGTTTCGATGCGTCGTTTAGGACTCTTCGGGAGGATTCCTGGCAAGTACCCTGCCTCTTTAAACTATGTCCGCGAGTAGTGCCCTGTTGCCCTTTTTTGGGGGAGGGTTCCCCTACCAAATAGACTACAGAATAAATACGGTACCCTTATTCTAACCTCTCAAATCTGGAGGACCTAGCAGTGCTGTGGGGCCTTCACTCTGGAAGGCAGTTCCTCAGTGAACTCCAAGCTGCAAAGCGTTTCAAGAACTTTCCTCCATTTGCTGAAATGAATATGTTGTTTATTTTTCCTTGTTGGTTGTAAAAGGAATCCATCACTACTGAAAATATTTGTATTTTTACCTGGGGCCTTAACCAAATGAAAGCTTTGGGAAGGTGCCTTCTAAGAAACGTTGGCAAGCTTGGAAAGATTGTCAGGGAGACTGGTCAGGAGCTGGTAAGCCCCCTTGCGAAGCGATGACTTCCAAAAATCGAGACACGAAACTTGTGTTCTTCTTTGGGAGCGACATATCTCGTTTTGATGGGGAGTTTAGGACACTTTGGGAGGATTCCTGGCAAGTACCCTGTCTCTTTAAATACTGTCAGTGTGGGAGGCTTTAAAAGGAGGCAAAGCCCCTGCGGAGCACAAAGGGAGGTGTCAGTTTCAGTTTCCTTCTGTCGTGCATGGATTGGTGTCAGGCAGCTGTTGCTTTTCAGGCGGTATCGAAGATGCCTCAGCTCCATGGTAGGTCAGACGACGTCTAGGAGGACAAGCTTTCGGGCAAACCATGGAAGTGATCGCCCTGTCTTTTCACGCACCAATTTTCCAAAGGCGATACCTTAACCCCTTTTTTGGAAGACTGGTTTCCTTAGAAAAGAGGTTCTGGGCACTTCTACATGTTTGCTGGTAGGCTAGTCTAGGATTCCCTTCTTTTCAAGCAACACATGGCTGTGGCTCAAAAAATGGTACCTGGAAGCCTGGCAAGTGGAAACATGGACCAACACCAGTAACACCAGTGGTCCCGTGGTTTAACTTTGACCCATACCCGCATGTCTCTCGTTACTTGCTGGACAGGCGGATGCCCGGCATGGAAATGTCTGGAAGTCACAGACACCTCGGAGCCATGAGCTCGCCTGAGGTGCCATGAATCGGAAGATCATGAACGCCACCGCGCTCAACTACGACAAGGCAAGTGTTTGTTTGTTTGGCTGTGGGAAAGAAGGACTAAGCATCCCTATGTTTCCCTTTTTGGTGGTCTCAAGCATCACTTGAAAACTTGGGTGCATTTTGCCAAGGGATGTTAGGACTTGAACTTTTTGCCAACTAATGGGTTTTACATTAAACCACTAAAAGTTAAACTTTTAGCAGGGGAGCAGAAAGCAACCGAGTTTTGTCTGTTTCTTTTGGGTGGCCTTTTTCACATCTTTTTCTGTGTTTTGGACGTTGTTTTTTCAGTGACCAAAGCACAAGAAGGCTTCTGCACTTTGGGGTACATTTTCCGATCCCCAGATCACCAGGATGGGAGCTGCACAGCTTTGTTCCGGGAGAGTGAGCAACGTCGATGGCCAGTGTTGATTCAAGACGCCCCACGTTGATGTATCAAAATAGAGTTATTGGTCCCTCCAAATTGGTTGAGTTTTCTGGTTGCTTTCCCATTCATTACCTGGAAAGGATGATGCCCAACCAGCACAAAAGCGCGTGTCTTCAGTGCCGCAAGCGAGTTGCTTGGCCGAAAACTATTGGCAGATCCTCAGACCTGTGCCAGTGAGGAACTTGGGCGTGTCTGCCATGAGAAGCCGAGCATCTTGTTTGGGTTCCGCGAAAAGCCAGGTAGCCTGCAAAGCGCGCGCACACACACACACACACACACACACACACACACACACACACACACACACACACACACACACACACACACACACACACACACACACAGACACACACACACACACACCCACACACACCCACACACCCACACCCACACCCACATCGCACCCGCACCCGCACCCGCACCGCACGCGCACGCGCACGCGCACGCGCACGCGCACGCGCACGCACACGCACACGCACACGCACACGCACACGCACACGCACACGCACACGCACACGCACACGCACACGCACACGCACACGCACACGCACACGCACACGCACACGCACACGCACACGCACACGCACACGCACACGCACACGCACACGCACACGCACACGCACACGCACACGCACGCACGCACACGCACACGCACACGCACACGCACACGCCACGCACACGCACACGCACACGCGCACGCGCACGCGCGCACGCGCGCACGCGCGCACGCGCGCACGCGCGCACGCGCGCACGCGCGCGCGCGCGCGCGCACGCGCGCACGCGCGCAACGCGCGCACGCGCGCGCGCACGCGCGCACGCGCGCACGCGCGCACGCGCCCACGCGCCCACGCGCACGCGCACACGCGCACACGCGCACACGCGCACACGCGCACACGCGCACGCGCGCGCACGCGCGCACGCGCGCACGCGGCGCGCTACGCGCGCACGCGCGCACGCGCGCACGCGCGCACGCGCGCACGCGCCCACGCACACGCACGCGCCCACGCACACGCACGCGCACACGCACACGCACACGCACACGCACACGCACACGCGCACACGCACACGCGCACGCACACCTCTGTGTTGCTCTTGCAATGTAACCCTCAGTTGCCCAAAGCCGACCTTTTGACCTTTTGGGTTTTCCTTTTTGGTCTAGTCTTAGTCATGGCCCCAAAAGGTTAACCTTTTATTTCTGGGTCCCTAAGGGGCAAGTGAGAACCTCGCCATTTCCCTGTGCAGCTAAGCCAAGGGAACCAGCCTTTAAAAGGACACTGGCCAGTTACCTACAGGTCACTGGGATCGGAGCTCATGCTTTCGGCTCACGAAGCTGTACTGCCGGTCCAATAGCTTAGATGGTTGTCCGATGGGCCCAGAAGGCGTCCCCGGAATGAAGTCCCCTTTCTCCTTTTTTGCTTTTTTGGGGTTCTCTTTGTTTTCTGGTGTCAACAAATATATAGTTTTCCCTTTGTTTTCCCTTTGTTTTCCTTTTGCTTTCCTTTTTGGGGTTCCTAGCCAGGCAAAACATCTATTTTTTGCTGGGGTCCTAATTCCAGCCCAGAGGACTAGGGCGGATGGCCCCAATCCGAGGGGCCCTTTTAGCGACGAAGGCCGACCTAGGGGCCTTCTGGAAGCTTCCGCTTGTTCCCCATTTTGGTTTTGGGGCTGACAATGGGATTTTGTTTCCCTTGGCTGAAACGACGTTTTTTTTGTTGTTGTTGTATTTTTCCTGTTTTTCCAAAAGGAATCGATGTCACGACTAGACCTATCTCTCATGTTTGGTCTAGTGGACGAAAACGGAAATGGAAGTGTCCAATCAGAGGGTTTGTTGGGGAAGGGGTGGTTTTGCTGTTCCCCCCGTTGGTTTCGAAAAAAAGAAAGAAAGACACAGAGGCCTCCCTGTTGGTTTTGCCCAAAAAACAGAAGGCCACTTTTTCTGTGGGGAGCAGTTGAGTTGGGCTCGGATCCGGCCGCTGCCTTCCCCGTCCCCGTCCGGCCGCCAGGTCGAGGGCCGGCACACCCGCGAGCACTTTGGGCACATGCCGTCCGCGGCCTGAGCGACGGGCCGACGATGGGGGGTTCTGATGGGTTGGACGCCTCGGGGCCTTTTCCGAAGGCCGTGTGGTGGGCGTTGTAATGGAAAGTGATACTTGTTGGGGGGAACCTTTTTCTTTTGGAGATTGCAAATTTGTTAGGGTGATGTGTTGAACGGGGGAAATGTAGGGAACACTGAACCAGGTCTCTCCGAAAGTCATGCAAGACGCCCAAACCCTTTACTCATGGGAGCTGACGGGAGGGTTTTTGGAAGACTGCTTTGGTTTCGGTCACGCCGGTCCGCTTCTATGGTTGTTAGAACGAGGGAACCTCCCCACCCCCCAAAAAAAACCGCTGCATCAAAAACAAAGACTGGGGAGACTCGGAAAGCAGCCGAACCAAAGGGGATGTTTGAGTTCGGATCCCGTGTCCTAAAAACCTCCTTTTTCATGATGGATTTACCTCGGCTTCCCCTCGAAGCCATCCAAACGGGTTCCCTTTTACCTTCTTTTGACTTGGACGCCCCAAAATTCAGCGGGGCGGCCTGGGGGCGTCGAAGAGCAGTTAGCTTTGGTGCATTTTGCTGGGATGTTAGGACTTTCACTTTTTGCCAACTAATGGGTTTTCCGCATTAAACAACTAAAAGTTAGTCACTTTTAGCAGGGGAGCAGAAAGCAACCGAGTTCTGGTTGCTGCGAACCTCGCAGGGCAGCGGCTGGCCCAACCAATGCGTACAGGAGCCTCTCCTGGGCGAAGCTATCGGCAGCTATCGGACGGCCCAAGGCCATCGGCCTGGCAATGCTCCAAAGGCCCGCCTGAGGTCCGAGCCAAGGAGTACTTCCAGCAGCGAGTACTGCGGTGATTTCTTCCAATGGGCAGACACGTAAGGATACAAGTGTAAGAGAGCGACGATGATACTCAGGTTTTGGCGCAGCTTTCGCGAGTTTGGCGAACAAAATCGGCGAGAGTCTTGGATGAGGCTTGGTGGATGTTCGATCATTGGAAGGTTGCAGCAGAGCAACTGATAGTATTGGTAAAGTTGATCTGTTGTTGGGTGGGCGGGGGGTGCCAACCTAATTTTCTTGTAAGTCCTTTTGTGGCGCAAAGAGCAACCCATCGTGTGAAAATAAAGGTACCCTGCCACCAAACGTGAGGGTTTCTAACTGTTACTTTGGCATCGCATAAGGGGGTTGCTAAAGATTAGGGGCCCCTGAAAACATGGCGTATTTGCCTTTTACGATTGGGCTTCCTTTGGAGCCACCTCCTGGGACAGATTGGGCTTGGTATGAGGGTGATCACAAGCGTTCTTTTCCTCCCAAAGGCGGGGCTCGTGAAAGATCATTTTGCTTGAACATAGATGGCGTTGGCTTCAGTTTGGTTCTGATTTGCCAAGGTCACAAATCGGACAGTATGGGTCAAGGGCCCACTTTGACTTGTCCAATACCAAGTACCAAGCTTGTAAGCATTCACTTTTTCTGCGCTTGCAGTTTTTAATGATGCCTAGAGCTTGTTTGTTCGTGTTCGTCGTATCTGGAACCACGCAGAATACTTTGTTTGAACAATTGAATTTGAAGCAGCAGGCCTTTGCAAATAGGATATGAGAATAAGTCTGGACCCCTTCAAATGGCAATGATTCAAGTTCAAACTGCTGGAGAAGTTTTGACAACCAGGACATGCCTGTCTGGGGGGGGGAACTGAGCCGTAGATTTCCATTTACATAAGTTGCATGTGGGCAAACCTTACTGCTTTGCAGTGAGTCGTCGTTTTGTTTTGGGAACCCACTGGCCATGGCGGGCGCAAACCTCGTTCAGGGCCCCTCCCCTCTCCCCCCACGGAAGCCGGGAGAGGGAGCGAAGCAGTTGAGGCCCAACGGCGAAGCCTGGGAGAAGCAGGAGAACAAGGCCTGGAACTGCCGGACGTCGTTTTTTTGGATGGTTTCGGAAGGTACCCTGGATGGTTGCGAAATCCGCCTCTCGCACCACCCAAGAAGCCCTGGTGTCTGATGATTCCCCCTCTAAATACCGACGAAAATTTGGTTTCCATGGTTTCAAACCCTCGCAGGATTTCGTCCGTCCACGGTATGAAAAAATACAAGCCATAGAATCATACCATATTAGCCATGTGATCCGTTAGTTCATGTTGGCCTGACTGTTAGTACGAAGCTTCGCTCAAGGCCAATATCATTCAACGGTTCATAGGGTTATGGCTAGTATGTTTTAATGGATGATATGGCTAATGTAGTTTGTGTGGTTTATATGGTTTAGATGCTTCATATATCTAACATGGCTTATATTCATTGTATGGTTCAACGGCTAATCTGGCCACTATTGTTTGTATGTTTAGTGCGGCTAATGTGGCTAACATGGTTAGTATGGCTCATATCACAAAGGTCTCTATGGTTATAAAGGCTCATATTATGAGCAGTTGTCCAAAGCCGACCTTTTGACCTTTTGGTTTTCCCATTTTGGTCCATTTTTAGTAGAGGTGCCAAAAGGTTAGCCTTTTAGTTCTAGGTCCTTTGGGCAACTGAGTATGAGCAGTTGACAATATGTAGCATCAGAGTCCCCACTACGGGCGGATGCCCGAAAGCCAGCAGGACTGATTGGACATCCGTCGAAAGATGTCCAAAGTTTGGTCACTGGGAAAAAGGAGTCCGAAGGTGGGCTCCCTTCCCCCTCCCCTCCCGGCATGACAAAAAAATCCCCAATTGGAGCTGGAGAAGGGACAAATCCCCTTGCCATGGGTGCGGGATGTGCGCCTTGCACATTCTGTGCTTCAGGGCTCTGGGTTTTGATTATGACGGGATTCCGTATGTCCAATTGGTCGTCATCTAGTGCCCGCGTCTGAGGCTCTGAGATTTGTTTCGAGATCCTTTCCCAAAAGCATTGTCCCCTTGTCAAATTGGGGGAGTGAGAACTCCGGATTTACGCAGGAGAATTGAAAAGGGGGCGGCTGGAAGAGGGTTATCAAGCGGGGTAATCGAATTTATGAGAGGGGTCCCCAAGAAGGTGAAGAATCCCCCTCTAAAGACTTTTGTCAGTCAACGGGGGCTTATGAATCAAGCGGCTTCTCATTTCACAGTATGTTGGTTTGCTTCGCATTTGAAGGCTCCGCGAATTACCCTCCCACCAGCTAACATGGAAGTTCACAGACCCCTGTAGAAAGACGACTTCCTCTTGGAAAGGGCCTTTTTGCAAATCCACGTCAGTTGGTGGAAGGGTAGGTGTGGGCCAGAATCGAATGGTTTTTTGGTGGGCAAAAGGTGAGATAGTCAGCTTTGAAATTTGAGCAGCTAGCTGCAAGCACCCCACTGTTCTTTCCCTCTTGTGGCCCCAAAATCCAAAACGCCGGGTGTCTGTTTTTGGGGGACCCACCAAAAAGGGGGTGCCCTGAAAAAATACACACCCACGAAGAGGATAGGTTTCGAAGTCCAACCGCAGGAGGAGAAGGCGGCTCGATCGCTGGAGGACAAGTGGAGGTCAGTGCTCGACTTTCGGGCGACTTCGTGCGAATGCGGGTCCCGTTGCCCCGAAAATTGCGGCGAGAATCATAAAAAAAAAACACCATTCTTTCCAGAGCGGGTGCGGCTTGTCAACGGAATTGGGGGCATCCGGAATCTGTCACCTGAAGCCGAGAGGCGGAGGCAGATTCGGTGAATGGTTTGGGGGGGTCCAATTGCGTCCAGGCCCTTCGTCCAAAGCCAAAGGTTGAGCACGAGGTCACTGTTTTTGCTTTATTGCAACTATTCTTGATGGCTTTGGGTTGGATCTTTGGACTGTAGCTGTTTGGGAAGTAGAGGATTTTCCATTGGACCGACCCACAAACAGTTGAAACAGAAATATGCAGAGGGGTCAACAGCAACCAACTATTCAACTTTCAAGCTGGTTGCTGCATTTGCTGTCTGGATTTGGTGCTGGGGGCGATCGTTTGACTTTGAGCACCTGGAACTTGAACCTGCAGGATCCTTCAGGCGAAGGAGCAAAACTCATGGAACCAGTCCTCGAACGGGAAGCCAGAGTGAAGATCCAGGAAGAGCAGATTTCTCGGAGTTCTAGGGGAAGCTTCCCCAGTCTTTTCAGGGATCCTTCTTTCTAGAAAACCACCCAAAACCCCTGGGGAACTGGCTGGTTTTTGAAAAGAACGATGGCTGAAAAGAATGGGGATTCAACCCCTAGAGTAGTGCTCAATTAGCAGCGGCATCCCAGTTGCCGTCTGTCTGAAGGGAAGATCGCTTTGGACGCACATGGGTTTGGAGTTTGGCTCATGCGGCAAGTGAGTTCTGAGGGGTTCTCACCACTTCCAAGTGGACTGTCTAAGGCTCAACCACCAAACCAGGGGGACAGTCTAATTGTTCCATATCCACGAAGGCAACTTTCGCATTTTTTCCAGGAACAGCGGGATGGGTACTCCTCGTGCATCTAAGGTCTCACTTACCCTGAGGGTAAGAATATATTGTGACGGTTTTGGGGTATGTATCCTGGAATCCCCCCCCTCCCACACCACCTCTAATGTTAATTTAAGTGTGGCTCAAAATTACGCAGGTTTTAGTCTTTGGTTCCACTTACCAAGGTACACCAAGGTGCGATTTGGGCACATGTTTTTGAGCCACAGCCAATTTGGGATAGATCACACATTAGTTGGGGGCCTCCCGGGTAAAAAAACAATATATGCACCTACAAAGCACGGGAGCAATCTCACGTCTGATTGGCATGGCCCTTCAGAATCCAAGTTGGACAGTGGTTTCAACCTATATTGACCACCAATACTTCTTTTTTTTTGTTACCCAGAGGCTCCAATTCGATGGATTTAGGGCCCTCAAACAACCAGGTTTTGAGACCCCCAACCACCGAAGCGGGGTGTCTAATGGAGGGGTCGGGTCTTCCATTGAAAGCCCCAGGAGCCTCTGGGTAGCACATTTCGAATACTCCATGTGAGCTGTTCTTGAATAGAAGTCCTTGTCTTATGGACACAATTTCGTTTTGGGTTACCACAAACCCATTCTCTTTGTTTTTCGTCCCTCAGATGCCAACATCATTCAGGTGCAGGGTTGCGTGATCAAGGGTTTATTTCCAATTCTGTGATACAGGAAGAAAACTCCCCCCTTTATATGGGGTTAGTCTTGGGTCAGAAGGCCGTTTTGAGAAGCTGTCGTTTCCCAGAGCCCTGTGTAGCGTCTTTTGATCTCTGGCGCCAATGTGGGAAAGGTGTCCCATTTCTCTGTCAAAAGCGACCAATCCGGCGCCAATTTGGAGAATTGCGGATTTCCGCGGGAAACGCCCACTGCCCACTGCTCGCCTTTTGAGATATCCCCAAGTGGTCGTTCAGGCGATCCAATTTGGCTTTTTGGCTGTGGCTCAAAAAAGTGGTACCAAAATGGCACCTTGGTAAATGGAGCCAAAGACTAAAACCCGCGTATTCCCAGCTCCTTAATTTTGAGCCATCCCCTACTAACATAGACTACAGAAAAAATCGGGTGCCCTTATTCGAACCTCTCAAATCTGGAGGACCTAGGTCAAGTGTTCGTTCAGGCGATGCACTTGGCCTTTTGATATCCGCAGGGAGATCGAGCAAGAGATGACCTTCGAGCCGGAGGTGGATATGTCCGGCCAGCCGGCGGTGCGAGCCCAAGTTGTCTCCCCGAAGGCGTTCAAGGAGGACGGCTGGCGGTTCCCGGCCGTCCCCTTGCTTTGTTCTTTGTTTTTTCAATGGGTTTTCAGGGCTTAGTGGGGTGAACCCACTAAAGGTGAACAAGTTGTTTTGGCCAGGGGATCTGAGGACAGAATAGTAGAGGAATGATCTCTTGACCCGACTTTTGGTTCCCTGTCAAGTTTTTGAGGTTGCGCCACTTTTTGGTGAGAAAGGGATCCTCGTACAGCGAACCAATGGTCAGACAGCCTTTGGTATCTCAGAAAGGATCCTATGGGCCGAACATTGGGACCTCCGGTTCGGTAGCATCCTCCAAATCTGTTTTTTCGGCGTCACTAAAGCAGGCTGCACCCGACACACTACTCCGCTGCTTTTCCCGTGGTTCCACGGGGCATAACCTATGGCGATCCCATTTTGGGGTGGACGAACATTCATTTGCCACCTATTTTGACGTTCACCGGGGGGTACCGGGTTTTGACCCACAGCCATGGCTTGAACCCGAACGAAGGCATGTGATTTGCCGATTGCTCACTTGCAACAAGAGCGAATCGACCCTTCGACTTGTTTTCCCATGTTGGTTCATTTGAAGTCACCGCTCAACAAGCTGAACCCTTTGATGTTGAGCTTTGGTGAAGAGTCCTTAGGAATTTTAGGGCTAATCCGAACAAGGACTCCCACCTTGCGTTGGCTTGTTTTCCTTTCTCGGCCTGGTTTGTTCATTTGGCTGTTTGCCAAGACCAGAATTGGGATCAGTACTTAGATTTCCGAGGCTGTCTTAAGCCCGGAGTCAACACTCAGCGCAGATGAGGTTGAACCTGATTGACTCAAGCTGCCAGGGTGCAAAGCCTCAATGGTTCTGGCTGGGTAGTGCCTTCTAGTCTGAAGGCAAACCTGTGCACGGGTCCCACAACCATACCCCTTCAAGGAAATCTTCGCAAGTAAAGGCGCCTTGGAGCCTAAAGGCTAAATTTGAGGCTGCTCTTCGTCTCTTCATAGGGTGTAGACAAGTTTCCGCTGTGCGAGCTCAGGTGCTACCCATTTTGTTTCCTGCGTTCTCTTTCAGCGCGCTGTGTCATGGCCACTGAGCATGTCAGCTGCTGAGTTTGCGGTGACCGAGAGCTGTCAGCAGACCAGTTGCGGCGGTCCTGCGTTGAGTCTCCATTGTCCGTCGTTCTCCTTGGTCAGTAGCCGCTTTTGAGGCTAGCTTTTGTTCTTGTTTTGGGTGTGCATCACTTTTGATGCTACAATCTTGGATAGCACATAGGCAGCACACCGCGCACACGGGTCTCGTCCGCATGTGTCCGCGCCTAGACTACGAGGCCGCAGCTGCTTGACAAGAAGTGCGGCAGTTGCCAGAGGATATGCGGCAGAAGCGGAATCAGCTCTGCGCCGCTTTCGCACTCTCGTCTACACGCAGATGAAAGCATGGTCCGAGCAACTGGTATCAGGCCCTTTCTGCTAAGAAACGGGCATGTTCTGATGAACGGTTGGTTCCTGGTTTGGGACCCAAACATGTTGGTGCAACCCCTTCGTGGCAGGTCTTAGAGACCAAGGGATTTGTTTTGAAGCACGAACCAACTCAGGGTCATTTCGATGGCCGCGCCTAGGAATCCACGCTGTTGGTGTGTCGCATTCGAAGCCCAAAGCAACGGCCCTTTCAAGGGACCCCAAGCCCTGGGTCCCTGATGTGACCCAAAAAGTACATTAGAGGAATCTTCTTTTGGGGAAGAACACATTTTTTCGGGGGTTCTTCCAAGCAATCGTGGAAGTGGACAGAAGGCCTTCCAGACGTGATGGTAGTTTTCCAAAGCCGATCTTCCACTTCCACGATTATCCGATTGTTGGAAAGAGGGCAATTAGCTTGCAAGGACTCCAAAAGCACAGCAGAAGAGTCCCCTTTTTGGCGAAGGACCCTCTTTGGAGTTCCATGATATTTAGCAGGGACTACTTGGATCAAGACCCTCAAAGCCTGCGGTCCGAGCATGTCCCAGGATTGCTTGCAAGAGACTACCAAACCTCTTGTGACAGACTATACCACACCTCCAGGATAGACATTTTTGGTTGGATGTCCCGTTGCAATCTCAGGGGTGCCATGCTCCTACCCTTTTGCCGGGCATTTCGGAGTCGCGCTGTTTGCCAAGCTAAGTCCCTGAGTCAGAAGGTCAGCCAAATGGCACAAGAAGTGGTGGACATATAGCCATAGCTTTCAAGTAGGTTGAACATCTTCTGGAGAACAGGAGTACCTACTAGGCGGACCATCCTTTGTTGATCTTCAGTTGTGCGGAGGTTGTTGCGGAGCAGAAGGCCCACGGCCGCACCGTGGTGGTTCGAGAGGTGGGGATTCGTGGCCCGAGGATTCGCGCGCATTCGGTTCGACAGGTTTCTCATGTCCAAGCAGATTCCGGACTTTGCATATGGACTGATCCATTTGTTTGTTTGAATCAGATTGGAATAGCCAATAAATAAATAGATTCCTATACCAAAAAATATATATATATATATCATGAATGGGAATGGGAATCAAGAAGCATAGTCTGCTTGCTTCCTGCTACATACCTTCCCACTACATGATATATATATATGTACATATCAGGCACGATCCAAGTTTTGGTGGGAAACGATTGTCTGAAGACCCAGCTGCCCGGTAGGTGTTCAAGCTTTTCCCCGTGTTTTTCCACTGGATTTCTCGATGAAGTTCCGCGTTCGAACACCAAAGGCGCCCTTTTTGTTGATCGCATGGGCACTGGGTACCCGTAGGTTCGAACGATGTTCTTTTCTTTAGATTGTACCAACACCATGTGGTAAAACCTTTTTTTTGGGTCACACAAAAATGGGCGAGATTCCAAGGCATAATTGTTTTTGATTGTCCAGGAGGAAAATCGTCAAGCAGACACCTTCTGTATGTATTTTATTGGGTGAAACATTGTAGTGTTGAAGAAACAGTTTGGTTTACGGCGGTTTGGTTGGATCTTTGGACTGTGACTTTTTGGGAAACACTGGATTCTCCACTGGACCCACAAAAAGTGAAACTTTTTGCAGGGGGATCAACGGCGACCAAGCTGGGTTGCTTGTTGGACATAGCAGGAAGGGGCCCTGATTGTCCCTGACTCCATCCGTTTGGTGGCCAACCTCCAGGAACATGTGTTTAGTTGGGAGCAAACTGGAGAAGCAAGATTGGCTCAGTGGGAGTATACCATGCCCTTTGCAAAAATGGGTATGGGTCAATATTAAGCTGCGGCGGCGGAACGCGTGACATGGAGCCCTTCCGGTGCCTACCATGGAGGTGACTGGGCTTCAGTTGGAAGACTTCCAGACCCGACAGCAGGTCTGGCTGCTAGGGTGGGTGACTAATTTTGCCACCACCACTCATAGCATCCTCCTAGGGTGGTATTGCCAGGTCAGGCCTATTTCGAGTTGTATAGATTCAGTCTTTTCCAGGACACCTCCATGTTTTCGGGGACATCATACCGTCCGGATTTGGTGGTAGCGTCCAACCCTTTTCGGGGTCTCGACAGAACCCCAAGGTTCTGGAGTTTCTGGGGCAGTGCTTGGACCTACACGTTGGCCTTGAAACGCAGCGTTTGTCTTCGATCCATTTTGTGGGCTTGGTGGCCTTTGCTTCCGTTTGCTTCGGACGATTCTTTATTTTCCCTGGTTGGTTTTAGAGGGAATCGATTTCACAACTGGACATATATTTGTTGATTTTTTTCTAGGAGGCTTCAGCAAATGGACGTTTTGTGGCACCGATGGTGCTAGGAATTCACAACCTATGGGCCCAGGCCCTGGATTTGTCGGGGTTTGGCGGTTTTGTGCTGGGCGAAGGGGCTAAGGCATACCTTGGGTTATGACACTTGGTGCGATATGTAGGGAATGTGGTTGAATGAACCCAGGGATTCCCTTAAAGGAAACCACCAGTTGGGTGTTTTACCAGGGTCATTCGCTCATTCCCTGCCTATCGCACCAAGGACAGTGTGCGCTGAGGCAATCAAGATCCTTGCCTCGGGTTGCTCAAAGATTTGGGCCCCTTTGTAGGATTAACAATTATTAGGGGTCATACACGTTGCCAACCACCATGAAAAATCATAGGCGTTGCCAACCACCATGAAACATTAAATATGTTTTTGTCGTTTGTAGTGGTACAGTAGGGATTCTGGAAAGTCGGGTTGGCCAACTTTTCATTTGCAGCTGCCCAGAGTCACTGCTTGCTTGGAGAGCTTAAGCCGGCGGCGAAGCTTCGCCGGGCCACTCGCGACGGGCAGGTTGGGGCTCCGGACGAAGATGATGACGAAGAAGGCAGGGCCGCAGTGGGCAGGTTGCGACCGTTGGCATCGGCCGTAAATGGCGTGTTTGATGCAGATCTGCAGATAGATGCCTGCCTATTTTACGGCGAGCTCACCGATTCGGGGGTAAAACGAACTCACCATGGTGCAGATTTGGACATATTGTAATTTTCGCGGATAGATGCCTGCCATGGAAGTGGGTCATATATTCAACTTCACTTGATCGCTTGCTTAATGTTGATGACATCTTTGTGAAGGATCCACGCAAAATACCAAGACCGAGTTGCCTCGTTAAGGATTGCAGGCTGAGTCGCTCCCTCGATGAACAGGATCCAAAATGCGCCCCGTTTTGGACTAGGTGTGACAAATGTGGCGGAACAACGCGCAACTCGGATATTTGTTGCATCAAGTTGCCCCTGGGGGCAGTTCTTGAGGGAATTGTCCTGGAGATAGTTATCGCAGTTGCTCTGTGGCGTCCTTTTGTCCTTTTGTTTTGTGGGCTTTTCACTACAAGTGGTCGACCCTCCAAAATGATCCATTTTCCTGATAGACAACGTGTCTTGTTTGCTGTTTCCTTACAATAGGTGCGAAGTGCAAATCAACAAATACTGTCGACCTGACAATCCTGCCGCCCCATGCCACTGCGAAGAGCAACCAAGCAAGTCCATATTGCTTTGCACGCCATGTTTTTGATGAAGCAAGTTTTTGTGTGACTTGCCGTGGATGCCTTTGCAACTTTCGATGACGCGTGCGCTGTTGTGGGCAACATGTGGGTGTGGGCAACAATAGGTACCCAAAATGGCACCCTGGTAAATGGAACCAAAGACTAAGACCTGCGGTCCCCCTCGCCCCTAGTGGTTTCATTTTGACCCATACCCGTTCTCAACATACGTGTTGAGCTAATGCAAAGATTCGCAGGTTCGGACTCACAGTCCCACGAAGCTCATGGGGTTGGGGCATTTCGTTTACAGAGCTCATGGGGCTTGGTGTGCGACCTGTTCCAGGGTGCAACCGCTTCTCTTTCCAAAAACGAATCTACTTCAAGGCCTGCAAGGAGGCCCTGGGTGGGATCCCCAACTAACCTGGCAACCCAAATTCTGGGGCATTGGATCCCCAAATATCCCTTTAGTACCCCAAATAACCTGGGGCATTTGTTGGAGGGTGCTACCGAATTTTCGGCGGGGGGTTCACTCCTAGATTCAACGGTTCACCCAGGCCCGCAAGTTGTGGGGAGTTTTGTGGGGCGGAAATGTTCTCCTGAGAATTGCTCCTCAACGTGGCTGGTCAAAAATAGTTGGTATCCCCCAAATGGAACCTGGCAAATGGAAAAGTCGACTAAAACCTGTGGTCCATATCCTGGTGGTTTAATTCTGACCCATACCGATTTGAGAAACTTCGCAGACGAGGCATCACAAGATGCCAAGAGTTCCGCCCCTCCCAAATCCAAAAGCCCGCATCCCAGTGCATAATATTTAGAAGGCCCCCTGACGGTAGCTTTTCAGGATTAGCGGGGAGCCAGATTTGGAGATTGGGGAAACCGGAAAAGGAAGACAAACCATGTGCAGTCGTGTTGTTCACCTCGTGCACTACTGTGGATGGACGACATGTTGCACTTTGAAAGCATGGTTGAAACCATCGCGTTTTTGGTATCAGTCAAGTCTGCAAAATCAGCCATGTCATATGGAAAACACCCCCGGGCCCACAGCGTACCCCTCTTGTTATTTGCCTCGAGTCGAAAATCCATCCGCTGGGTTTCCGTGGAACCCCATTCCTCAGCACATCACCCACTGCCTTTGGTAGGAGAGACCAGCTACCAGATCGTCGGCCTGGGGCCCGGGGTCGGCTGTAGCCCCACTGCCCCGAGCAAGTCTCCAACTCGGTCCCCCAGCAATTGGTGCAAGCTTTTGACCGATTTTTTTTGGGGGGAGGGCTCCCCTACTAAATAGACTAGAGAAAAAAGTGGGTAACCTGATTCTAACCTCTGTACTGGAGGATCTAGCCAACATAGGGGACCTCCAGAAAAGCCAACCAACAGGAGGGGGGTGACATGTTTGAAGCAAGAGGGACTATCAGTTTACTTTTTAGATTATTTCGACACTTGGCTTGTGCATGTGTTCTGTCCATTTTAGCCCTGGTCTCCACATGTCTCCACATATATTGACCCGCAACAAGCTGCTTTTCACAGGGTTCTACTGTGGTTTTGCTCCTGTTAAACCGCCGTTGATGCGCTGGCTTGAAGTCTTCCTGGTGTCTTCTGTTTGGAATGTCTTTCCTTTGCTCAAGGTGATTGGCGAAGGACATGCCACCTAGTTTTGCTTCCGGTCGTACCAGTTGGACTATTTAGTCCTTGAACACTAAATTCCACAATCAAAAGCATCCGAATCAGCCCCCGAAAGCGCCTGAAAAAAGGGCAGTGTAACAGTTCTCGACGTCTTCAGTGTAGATGAACTTGATCCTTTTTGCGGAGTCCAAAGCCAGACACGAAGACAGCCATTGGACGTTTGGCAGATTCGCACTTGTGTTTTTGGTCTGGCGGTATTTTGGGCCCAGCATCTTTGCAAATGACGCTCTACTCTTCCTGATATGCGAGCTCATATGCACTTTTCAGCCATCCACCGCTTTGGGAAGGGGCACGAAAGCAACATCGCCGGCACGAGACATCCCCGACACATTGCAACCAGCCATAGCCAGCGTAGAATTGGTATGGGAATGCTTCTGTTTCCCTTGCCATGGGGTGCTTCCTCGGTGATTGAAGGCAGCTGCTTCCCCGGGCCCCGTCCCCCGTTGTGCTCCTTGACGCCACCAAAAAAGGGGGGTGCCTTCAGAGACAGGCAGACCCCATCTCTCCAGAACTCCTTCAAGGATCAAGCACCCATCCACCGGGTTTTCCGGGTTTTTTCCATGTTTGCCGGGCGCGGAACACCAGCCAACGTACGCCGTGCTGAAGCCGCGGAGTGAAGCGAGGCACTTGGACGGCCATGCGGGAGCCGCAGGAGATGACCAAGACGAGCACCGGCACGCCGCGCTCCGAGACGAGAGCCGACGAGCAGAGAGCAGCGCGTTGGGCGCGTGGGTGTTTTTCTCGTCTCGTGGGTTTGGTGAAGTTTTTTTGGGGGCGGCTTGGAATGGGAGAACGAAGAGGAAACCGTCTTGATGTGGGAAAGCCCTAGGAAAACCACAAGGACACCAGGAGGACACCAATAGGAAAACTGTTTCGAGGGGTACGGGTCACATTTCGAGATTCTCCCCCAAAGCAGAAGCATCCATGGTTCCCTTATCAGTTTTCTCGGCCCAGTTGCTGATACTTCTCTTGGAAGCAATTGTGGTACCCCACTTGTTTGGCTTATCTCCCGAACACCACCCTTCTTGTCAAAGACTACACCGGATTGGAAAGGAAATGTTGTTTTTAAGAAGTGTATGTATGTACCAGTCCCTGGGCCACGTACCCCCCCCCCCCCCCCCCAATGGTATGGTCCCCCCACTCCCCCGCATCATCCGCATCTTGGGGATGATGCTGGCAATGCTGGGGATGCTGTCCAGTACCGTGCGAGCCCTGCAGCTTCGGTCCCAGACCCCCTTTCACCCCGTGAACCAACACCCCCGCACCTCTCGCAACATCCTACCCTAAACCAAACCACCCTGCAACCCCTCCTTAACCCCAACCCTAAGCCTAAATCAACCCAAAACCCAAACCCACCCGAAACCCACCGCAAACCAACCCTGAACCAACCCTGAACCAACCCTAAACCAACCCACCAAGCCTAAACCAACTCCGAACCACACCCAACCACCCAACCACCCAACCACCACCCAACCACCCAACCACCACCCAACCACCCAACCACCCCACCACCCCACCACCCCACCACCCCACCACCCCACCACCCCACCACCCCACCACCCACCCCACCCTGGGGTGGGGTTGGCCCAACCACCCAACCACCCAACCACCACCCCACAACCCCACCACCACCCCACCACCCACCCACCCCACCCCCACAGGGGGGGGGGGGTTGGGGGGGGGAGGGGGGGGGGGTCCACGGCCTGGAACATGTATGTGTGTGCGTTTCCCTAGTATTGGCAGTTGATGGACGCTGATCGACGTGCATGTTCGCACTTGGACAAGGATCATAGCACCATTCCTGACCAACCCTCCCCAGCGTTCTGTGGGTAGGTTGCCACACATGATTGTCACCCAGTCTGTGCAAGCTACCCTCCTGTCCACATGGAACCCGCCAGAGTCCATTTGAAAGAAACATGGTCAAAGCCGGGACGCCGAAACGTCGTTTTTGTTCCACGGTGTCAATGTTGACCCAGGATCTAAGTAGACCCGTCCCATTATTTGGGGGGTGTTCCCTCCAACAGTGATGAATCCAACCACTAAAAGGGGACACCCCCCTATGAATCAACCAGGGGTTTATTAATCCGGGGTTAGCATTGGTGGACAGGAGGGTACCCGTTTTTTTAGCTCGGATTCCCTGAGTCGGGACAACGCCTGATGGCGCTAATGCGTATCTAGTGCGTTCAAGGAACGACCTGGGCCGCGGACGTGTGTGGCGTGCGGTATGTGATTGACCCTTGGAAAACACCTTATCAAGGTCCCCCAGTAGTGCCCGTAACTGTTTTGGGGGAGGGTTCCCCGACTAAAATAGACTACAGAAACAAAATCGGATACCAACTTATTCTAACCTCAAACTACTGGAGGACCTAGTTATGTAGCCCATCCCCGGGATGGTTAAGCCCAGGACTGGCCTTGGACCCGATCATACGCCAAAGGTTCCAACCTGATCTTGGTGGCACTTTGGGGGTTGGAGGGCACCCTTCTTGGGTTGGTTTAAAGGGACACCAAAAGGACACCAAAAGGAAACTCTTCTTGGGCTTGAGGTTCCACCAGCTAGAGACATACTCCTGTTTTTTTCTTTTTTGTTCTTCCGGGTGTTCAAAGCTTTCGTAGAAGGTGAGTCTTCCTTGGAGTCAGTTTTCAACTTGAATCAGGGTTGGGACTCAGGTTCACCTACGAGGCTGGTCGCCGGTTCGCGTTTTGTCCTCCGGGCCCGCCAGGGACTATGCTGGTATTCAACGAAATCCAGGCATTTCTGAAGTATCCGTGTACTCAAAGTAGGTAAAACGTTTTGCTTTAGCCTGTGTTTTGAAGGAAATGAAAAGGGCACCAAATATATGCAGGCGATTTCAACTGCACAGGGTTCATTTATCACCGAATAATAGCCGAATAATACTCCAGGCAAATTTGACCTTTCGTCCTCAACAAGTATTAATTCTTGAAGGTGTCAGTTGAACGATCCGACATTTGCAGTGTCCAATTCCTTTGGGGGAGGGGGGGTTCTAATCCCATCGGCGTTCGGTTCGAAGCCAAGACGTGGCCGGAAAAAAAGGCGGGTATCTTCTGCTTTGTTGACGAAATCAACCTGGTTCAGGGGCTTCTCTCAAAAGGTCTCAATGGAGCCCCCGAATAGAACACCCCAAATGGCTATTGGTCAAAGCTAAACCACCAGTTTTTTCTTTTTTTTTGTTTTAACCGCACAGATTAGTTCTTGGTTCCATTTACCAGGCCAAGCCAGTTTGGGGTTACCGACTATGTTCGACCACCACACTCTGCTCTCAGCTCAATCGCCGCATATGACCACCTGGGTCTTTGGGTGTTTGGGACCTCATACCAACTACCACCTTTTGAAGCAACTCAACGCAACAGAAGACACGCCCATAACTAGGTCCCTTGTTGGTGCCCTTTTACCAACTTTTGTGGGGGAGAGTTCCCCTACTAAAATAGACTACGCAAAAAAGGGTACCCTTATTCTAATCTCTCTACTGGAGGACCTAGCCATATGCAAGTAGCTCGAGTTCAAGCCTGGAATGCAAGTCTTTCAAGCCCATGAATCAGGGAATGGAGCATCTTCACTGTTTGGGCCTTTGGGACCTCTTTGGGCTTTTGGGATCCTCTGGAATCGAGGTGCCCATCTCAGAAAGTACCCAACCAAAACCCCCACCCGCAACACAAAAGGTGCCTCAAAAAGGTGGCCCAAGAGAGGTACCCAAGAAGTCCGTGGACTTATGAAGTAATGAACAAAGACCACTTTTTGTTATACTTTCTGTTATCAGGCATAGTATTTTTGCAGCATTCTAGCGTTGGACATATTGGGACTTAGAACTATTCTTCACCTCAACATTGACATGCAAGCCACTAGGCCTTAATCTTCAGTAGTCACCTACGCGCTCTCTCTGTCTGGGATTTGCATTTGCTTAAGTGGCTTTCTTGGAAGGCCAGCAATGATTTTTGGAGTTGCAGGTTGTAAGACCTCGCCAAATCATCGAAGTGCTTGAGTTTTCTACTCCTCCTCGTGGACCGAAGGTCCAACTCAAATTCAACATGTGCCAAGCATTCTAAGGGCACCCTCAAAGACATACACATGGCCATGTTTTCTTCTTCTTCTTTCTTTTGGTTTGGGTTCCCCCCCCAAGAAAAATGCGTTTTGCTTTCGGTTTCTCCTTTGGGTTTCCCGTTGAAAGGGGAGGCCCGAAGCCCCGAAGCCCCGAAGCCCCGAAGCCCAGCGTCCTTCGTGGCTTCGCAGGTCTCCTTGGGGCCCAACGGCTGGGAGCAGCCCGGCGCCCGGCGGAGCGCGAGGCTGCGAGACTTTGGGACGCGGAGCGGCAGCCCGTACGCCCACCAAGCGCAAATAACCATTTTTTTTAAATACATATATATATATAACAAAAAAAAACATGTTTTTCCCCCTCAAAATCGAAGGTTTTGTTTTTTTATGGAAGGTTTTTATTTCAAAGACGTTTCGGGGGACTTGGCCCATGTGGCTACGACCTGAGGTTCAGGCAACTAGAACAAGGCTTGGGTTCATATGACCACCGTACGTTGAATCGCTTCAGGAGGTTCATCCTCCAAGTTGGGCCCTTTCAGCGAGCCGTTTTTTTCATGGGAATGGGCAAGTTGAACCGGGGAATGCATTGCCGGACTTGGCTAACCTTTCTTTCACCTGAGTTGAACTTTTTCTGCGTCTCTCGACTGTGTTTTTCCTTTCAATCGGACAACTGTAAAACACTTGTTGCGCGTCCAAGTCTGGCCCGCGATCTTGTTTGTTGTTGTTGTTTTGACCGTGGTTTGGGGATTTCCCCCCATAGTTTTGGCATGTTTTATTGAACATGAGACTGAAGCTCCTTGAGGGTTTCTGAAGCTTTTCCCCACTTATGGTTGGCTTCATTTCGCAGTTGAGAGCTCACGAAATGGGCTGGTGCGCTTTCCAGGGAAACCCCCACTTTTGGTTATTTGATTTTAATGGAAACACAAGGAAGCTTCCTAAGTTCGAGACACACGAAACACACCCATATGAATCAGGTGTTCTTGGCTGGCAAAAGTTGAGGAAGATGTGGTTTTGTTTATCGCTTTCTGAAAGCAACACTGGAACTCCTTGAAGAGGGTTTCTCTACATGCGGGGTTGGCTCTGCTCCGGTCAGCAGAAAGTAGGCGAGGCTGAAAGTCGTTTTTGCTTCACTTCTTGACTCTTTTGTGTTGAACAAGAAGTTGGCCTCAACGTCGGGTTGGTTACTTCTTGGGGCTTGACTCCTTTTGGTTGAAAGCAAGATCGGACCCCATCGAAGAGGGTGTCTACACTTTTTGGGGGTCGACTTTTCGGTTGGAAAGTTCGACCTGTTGGGCCCCAGAAAGGCCAACACTTGGAAGGAGTTGGCCGTCTTGTGGCTGGATTCTGGGCAGGAGACGCTGGGTAGTTCTGCTTCTTGCTTGGTCGTGTCGGTTTGTTCGCTGCTTTGTTGTTTGGTTTGGGTATGTTGGTCGTGGCCTGGTTGCTTGCTGGTTGGCATGGGTGAAAAGTCAGAATTTGCAGCACGTCATTGGGAGCAGGCACCGTGGTTGGCGCTGCGATCAGTCCGGTAACGCAGATGTTTAGGTGTGTGAGTGTGTTGTGTGTGTGTGAGTGCTTTTGTCTGGTCATTTTCCTTTTGTTCAGTTTTTTCCCCTTGCGAATTCGGGCTTTTGTTCTGTGCGGGATTGGAGGGTTAATTCTGCGCAGTTCGTTCTCTTTGTTGCAAGCAGCCAAACACGCAGCCTGCGTTAGGTTTGCGCAGGCATGTGCCTCTTATTGGCAAAAAGAGTGACGAGGTGAGTTTCTTGACGCGCGGCCGCCTCGGGAATTCTTTCCGTTTTGATTCTGACTCACATGGGTTTGTGTGTGTGTGTCTTTTTTTGGAGCGGGATCCCCCAAAATTGTGATTCTCCTTTGGTCTGCCAACGCACATTGAAGTTGTTGCTCGAAGGCAAGTTCCTTCCCTGGTCTGCGCCCGGTTTCTCCAATTGACCCCCTTGAATGATTGCCTAGAAGGCAATCCCAACTGAGTACAGGAGACCTTTTTATGGCTGGGGAGTTTGTTCATGGCAACCAACAGTAGGTAGTGCTGCGCTGCATTGTTGCCATGGCATTTGGCATGTCATTTTTTTTAAAAATCTTTGGCAGCTTATTTAGAACTTGTGTTTCATGTTTTGCGTTTGCTGATTGGTTTCTATGGGTACAGCGGTCTTGCGGTTTTTTAAGTCCTTATGGCTGTAGGTTCTACCTGCTGCGCAGCAACAGCTGGTCCAAGAAGATTTACCCCGCGGTGCACAAGTCCACCAAGGCGGGGGCGGGGTTTTTGGAGCGAGGCGGACACTGGGGTGCTCCTATGGCCGTGTTTTTTGTCCAACCTAATCTAGGTCCCCCAGCTAGGTGCCCATTTACCGTTTCTTTTTTGGTTGGGAGGGTTCCCCTCGCAAAATAGACTACCGAAAAAAAAAAATCGGGTACCAACTTATTCTAACCTCTCAAATCTGGAGGACCTAGGACATAATTCGATCAAAGACACAAGTTCCTTAGAGTCGCACTCCCTGAGTTCCGTTTCGGACTTTCGTAACTTTTCGGGTGTGGACCCCTTTTAGTGGCAAACCGTTTTTTCAGGAAGTGAGTAGTATATTGAAAGGACGTGTTTCAAGTTGGAAATATATTCCATGTTGGAAGTATATGCCATGTTGGAAGAGAAGTTGGAGCTCTTGAACGGAGAGTCAGGATTGGCCGAACCAAAATTCGATCAGAACACGTTTTGGGTATAGGATTGGTTTGCTTTCCTTTGGTTTCCCGTCCAAATTTGTATCTTTGAAGGAGCGCAGAATGTCAACTCACTTTAAGTCATCAGAAGCGGGTGGGGGTCAAAACAGCGGCCCCGTAAAAGGTGTCGCAAAACCGCACAATGTCGCCAGGGCCCGCGGTTTTTTTGCCGGCATGCGGGAAACCCGGTCAAGCCAAACACTCTTCGGCCAAATTTGAACCAAGTCCATTGAAAGGAATACTAAGGGTTCTTAGATCCCTTTTGAGAAAAGCAAGCAACAGCCGCGGCAGAGTGTTGCGCCTGTTTGAGTCACAGGGCTCTTTGTTGTTTCATTCTAAATCCGTAAGGCTGTTGTGCTACGGTCAATTCAGTGGATCCTTGGTGAGCCTAGCCATGTTGAACAAAATCTCAAGAGTCGACTTTTTCCCACTCTAGCCGATAGTAGTTGCATACTGTGGATGGGCAAACTCCGTTTCGCACCACGAACTGAAACCATGGTTGACACCATAAGGCTTGTTGGTATTTTTACGTTGGGGAGCCATCAGAAACCGTTGGGCTGAACGGTGCTGCGATGTCGCATTTCCATCCCCAGTTGGTCCTACCTCCCAGGGTTTCCCTCCCTTCCGCTCAAAACGTGCCGAAAACGCCGCCTCCCAACTGGGTATGGGTCACAATTAAACCACCAGGAATTGGACCGCAGGTTTTAGTCCTTGGTTACCAGGGCAAGCCATGTAGGGTACCTATTTCTGACCCACCTCCCAACTCAGTTTCCAGGAATTTCCGCGCTGAAGGAAACCACAAAGCACCCCCAAACCTTTGGTGCCCTTGAGCTAACGTAACATGGAGCCCACAGAAAGAGGACAGCGTCTTCTGGGATTCCGCCCATCAGGCTCCACGTTGGTGCGTGGGACGGGCCTTTTGAGGTATTTGTTTCGACAAGTTGCTGAAGACCATCGGTGTTTGCTGGCCCATGTGCGACCCCGAAAGTACCAGTTTCTCACTCCCTGAGTTCCTGGACTTTACTCACTTTTTGGGAAGACCAGCTTAGTGGTAAATGACAAGTTCTGACATGTTTCGCCGATCCACTGAGGAAGTGAGGTTGTTTTGAACGCCATCCCAAAAGAGGTAGCAAAAGTTGAGAACTCCACCCCCCCCCTGAATTTCATCGTGGATTCCATTGAAACCTGATGTTCCATGGACAGCCACGGTCCAGCCAGGACATGCCCTGCGTGGGCCCTCACAAAGGCCGGGAGCGCCAGATGTCCCTGCCTGAGTTGCCGTGTGTTTTTTCTTTTTCTTTTTTTGCGGTGAACATGGGAGCTTTGGAGCCCCCAACATGGTTGCAACCTGCAGCCCTCAAAGGGTTGCCACCCTTCAAAGTCTGCAAGGTATTCATTTCTGCAGCCCCCCTTTTGGGCGGTTTTTTGCCGTTTTGTTTCGCACCCTTTATTCCTTTATAAGGGTCATTCCAATTCTCATTCCCCGAGCATCCGCAAGCAAGCAATTCCTAGCCTAAGAAGAGCAGCCTCAGAAGTCACACACACACAAGCAACCTTGAGCAGACGCCTCACTGTGGCATGTGGGAGTCTCTCTTTTTGTAGAGGACCCCCAAACTGGTGGTTTGTTTTCCTTTTGGAATTCCTTTACCTTCACCCAAAAATGGCGGGCACCCAGCAAGTGACGCGTTTTAACCCTAAACCCTAAAGATTGAGACGCCTATCTGCGTTTTCCTCTCGATTCGATGCGGCGGACAAGGGCAAGACAGGTCCCGGGGCGAGGCGGCAGGTCAGACACCGGACAAGCCTGGGCAAAAGTCAGCAGGCACCAACCGAAAATCCGCACACGCTTGTTTGTTTTGGACTGCACTTTGCAGGTGAAAAGAAGAAACAACAGCACTTTGACCAGCCCGATTTTCTAGAACCACCATTTTGTATGTATATATGGTAAAGCGTTGCCAGCCCCTCCCCCCCAATGGTCATGGGTCAGACAAGTACCCCCCGCCCTGTGGTTGTGGTCCTGTGGTTGGGTTGTGGTGGTTTGGGGTTGGTTTAGAATTGGTTTAGGGTATATTTAGGCTGTATTTAGGGTTAGTTTAGGGTCGGTTGCGGGTTGGTTGCGGGTTGGCTTGTCCTGGGGCTGGGGGTGCCGGGGTGTCGGGGTGGGGGTGAGAGGCCAGGATCCGGGGGCTCGGGGTCTCGGGGGCGGGGGGGGGGGACCCATACCATATGGGGGGGGGGTAGCAACACGGAACACGGGACCACATATATATATATATATATATATGTATATATATATATATGGTCACCCCCCCCCCCCCCCACCCCCCCCCCCCCCACCTTTGTAATATATCACCCCCCTGTTCCCCCCCCCCCCCCGCCCCCGTTTTTGTTGTTTGTTTTTTTCAGAACATGTTTTGACGAGCAAAGATGCGCCGCACAGCCATAGGCGTCCTTTTTAGGTGAGTTTGGTTAGAAATAGATGGGTTCCACTGGTTTAGATGGGTTTTGTTCCATTCACCAGGGCCATCGATTTTTCCAAAAGGCCACCTATTCGCGCTTCAGTCTCAGGTGCTGGCAGCTCACCGGCCGGCCCAGCTGGGATCTGCCCGGGGAGGATGAGGGGCCCAGCGGCAGCAGGCGGGCACGAGGAGGGAGCGACGAGGATCCACGAGGATCTTAGCTCGGGGGTGTTTTTGTTTCCAGTATGGCAGGGCTCCTTAAAAGATACATTTTGCAACCATTTGAAACATGTTGTTTTTTCAACACCAAAATAAAGTTGGAGACCACCATTTACAAGTTGCAATGTTCAGGCGAATGTAAGGATCCCTGGCTTGGTCTTAAAGTATGGGAGGTCTCGGTCTCCGTTTGGTTTCCGTCCGCTTTTTGGTGGCGCAACCTGCCATCCGGTTCCGGATAGCTTGTTAGATCCTAGCGTTTAGTGGTTGGTTTTCCATTTGACCCACTAAAAAAATAACTTGCAGCTAAAACTCTAGGGGTAGCTCCCATGTCCATTCTGAACCCAGGGATCTGAATCTTTTCAGGACACCATCAAAAACGTGGGGAAACAGCCGGTTTTTGACAGAACGATGGTTGAAAAGAATGGGGAATCAACCCCTAGAAAAACATGAGCCACGGGTCCACACGTGGTCCACACGTTTGTTTTGGCCCCTTGTCATTTTTATTGGTTCTGCACAAGATGAAGGTGGCGCCGTGGTGTTTGAACCCCTTTTGTCTTTGTTTTGCTCTAACAAAATATGGTTTCTCGTGAGTTTTAACGCGTTTAGGCCTATTTGAGCAGCGCTGTGGTCAAGTTCGAGGCTGCAAGGTTAAGTTGTCATTGTGGAAAACCAGACCGCTTTTTGCCGTGCTGCCAGGTGCCCCTCTCCAGCAAGCCATGTGGGCTTTACGACAATAAAAGCGTTGCTGTTTTGTTTCTGCTTGAGGATTTGCCATCCGTTTATTTCAAAATGGGTCAGGACAAGTGGCATTGACACCAGACTCTCAGAGATAACGGCAGTTTTGGCCGGGAAGTTCCGCCTCCTACCCTAGGACGGGCAGTTCCGCAGTTTTGGACGGGCCAAAGCCAAGCCGCTAGCCGCTGGCTGGCCTTTCGTTGACCCTCACGGGCTCATTCTCAGTTCAAACGGTTTCCCTTTTTGGCCCAATTTCAGTCAGGGCCCCCAACAGTGAACCTTTTTGGTGTTGGGTCCTTTGGGCAAGTGAGCATTGTTTCGGGACTGACATGAGACACCCAAAGGAGTTGGCGTCTTTGGCCAAGGCATGTTTGGAATTATGGTGGGGTGAAACGAGCCGTGTTCACAGATTTTGGTTCCATTGGCGCCTTGTCCTTAGCCCTGAAGGCAAAATCTTTGCTTTTCTTGGGGGTCTAAGGAAAAGTATTTTGCAGGGATGACTGACTCAGATTGTAAATCAAGCTATGCGGTTTTGGTCAAGTCTTTGTCCCAGCTGAAGGGGAAGCATATTATGGGTTTGTCTCAATATTAGGGGGTGACTTTCTTTTGGTTTCCTCAAAACGGTACCCGCAAAAAAGGGACACCGGCGTGGCCGGTTTTTGCATATTCCAACCCTTTGCCGTGGACTACCAACTGTCGCCTTCCGACTGGGCCCACGAAATCTACCGGCGGTTTGGCGCAGGTACCTCATTTCCTTCACCCCTGGCCAGGCGAGTGACGACTTCTCGCATGGGAAGGTAAAATAGGTATCTCTTTTGGTCCAGAAGGTTCCAAATCACCTTTTATTTTCCAGGTGCTTTGGGCAGAGGTCTAGGTGTTGGTTGGCGCACTCTCCGCCCGGATGATCTTTGAGAGGTCATGTCCACTTTCATTGCAAAAGGCTATCTCTCATGCTGAGCCTGGGACACCTGGAAGCGAGCCCAGACCCTGCAGTCCCGAAGTGTGAACTCCGGCTGGGCCGAGAGGAGATCAGAAGGTTGTCCAATCGTCTGAGACGAACAAAAACATAGACCGTTTCGGGACAGGCAAAATCGTCTTAGGTCGTCCCTTCCCTGGGGATTCCGCTTGGTGAGTTGGTGATGATCTTCGTGCCAGTCTTTGCGCCAAGGTCCAATGCGATTGTAAAGCTTGGCGCGCAGGACTTGAATTGGTGCTTTGAACTTTGGATAAAACTGCACTCTGTAACATCTTTCTGGCTATTTGGTAACGGATCTTCTTGGGCAACAGTTGATTTTCCCAATTGGACCCACAAGCCGTGTTCGACTTTTTTTGCAGAGGGGTCGTTGCAGCAACCAAGACATGGTTGCTTCAACAGTGGCTTCAACTTGTCGGGTGGCATAACTTAGCCTCCCACCAAACATGGGTTTCTGCAAAAAGGCCAACTCACCAAGAGGAAAGTGTTCTTTCTACCAAAGTCCGAAGGCACCAAACCATGTGAGCTGCTGGGCGGGTAGATGCTTCGGGTTTTGTGGTTGGGTTTCCGAACTTCACCCAGAAGTTGAACCTTTTGCCCGGGGATCGGAATCAGAAAACGGACAGTCCGGCCAAGAGAGCGTGCTGCTTGCATGGGGTGCCCCCAATCTCGTGCCCTCCGCGCCGCTTTCCGCTTTCGGGTGCTCACTGCCTGAATTGGGCTTCAACTTTTTGGAATTCCTCGAGTTTGTCGTTGTTTCCATTTACCAGGGCAACCCATTCTGGAAATAACCAACTATTTTTGACCACACATCCACACGGTTCTTTGAGCCTTCCATTTGCTTAAGATTCATGTCTTTTTTCCTTCTTGCATTTATTTTTTTCAAATAAATGGTCGCCCTGCTGGACTCGATCTCACTGGTGGAAAAAACATCTCGTTGGTTCCACTTGTGGATTTCATTCGCACATGGAGGTACCTCCAGGGTTGTGGCAACTCTCGGGGTTTATCTACCTCTGCGATATCTGCGGGAATCTCCCGCATGAGAATGGGGGGGGGAACATGTCTTTGGGCAAAATCCTTTAGACTTGAATCTGCGGAAGATTCTTCTTTTTTCGAATTAGCGTGTTAAATTGGTGTGAAGCTATGAAATCTTTAGGCCCTTTCTGTTGCATCACAGATTCGTTTCCATTTCAACCGCAGTCCTGGAGGGAGCCGCCGAGCCGCGTGGCTCACGCTTCGCTTCGCGCCTCACGTTCGGGAGGTGAAGCGCCTCACCTGGGAGAAGTTGGAGGAAGAGGTCCCCGGCTCCGTGAGCGACTCCGGGACGCGACCCTTCGGCAGGGAGAGCTGAAAAGGGCCGGTGCTGGTCCTTGGTTGCCAGTTACTGAACCCCGACCTCCAGACAGGTGTTTTGTTTGCTTTCTTTTTGGGGGGGAGGGGCTTTGGTTTGGAAATTTTCGTTTTGGTTTGGAGGCGCCCAGGTGCATAGTTGCAGCAACTTGCCTTTTTTTAGATATGAATGTGATTGTCCTCACTTAGAACCTCTCTTGTCGTTTTAAATATCTACTTGTATAATTTGCTTCGCTTTGAGCCACTCTCTCGCGCTATGTTGAACATCTAAATGCCTTGTTTCAGTATTTGTGATCTCGTTTATGGTTTAATTGTCCTCTGAACATGGCACCTCGCACGTGGGGAGGTAAAAAGTCTGGTAACCCTCATGTGGTTTGGATTGGTTTGGGTTGTTTTGTTTTTTTCTCACCCCTTGAACATGGTTGAAGCCACCGAATCAAAAAATGATCAGCTGACCTGGTGGTCTTTGCATTGAAACGATCGCCGCTTTTGGAGGTCCCAAGAAAGGGACATGGAGGAACCCCTGACTATGCCATTGAGTGTGTCTGTTTTTCGGATTCGGAACCCCCAAAAATGGATCGCTTTGGTTTTCCTTTTGGTTTCCCTTTCACGCCGACCAAAGAAGGGGGGTACCCTCCCAACCATTTGGGTCCTGGTTTGGACCATGTTCCTTTTACAGGGACCGGGTCCCTGCGTAAACGTGGATTTGTGTCAATTTTTTTTGGGGGTTCCTTGTGGTTTCCCTTCAAAAACCAGAAAAAACAACGGTCCCATATGGGTGTTGAACATGGTTGGCTGCCTTTGGGGAACCTCCCTTTAACCGGTTTGGAGTATCCACCAGAAGGGGGTCCAATCGTCAGACCAAAGGCGAGTTCGGTACCATGCCGCAATCCTCTGTTTCCAAATGTTCCTCTTAAAGCGAACGCCAGGTTCCATGTGAATTAATGCGGTGCCAAAAACGGCACGGCGATTCGCCATGGAGCCCGGAAAGGGAAAGGGCGGATACCGACTCCGACAAACTGAGCGAAGCGCGCGGCGCGCGCGGCGCGCGCGGAGCGCGAGTCGCGCGAAGTCGTCCGAGGTATCAGATCCTGGGCTCCTGGGCCTGCTTCGACCCCCAGGAGATGACGCCAGACCCTGCCAGGCGCCGGGCGCCGGGCGCCGGGCGCGGGGCGCACGTGCCCCGCCCCGAAAAAGAGTATCAAACAAGGACGAGCTACCCATTTCGGAGCGGGCTGGCAGGGGTTGTCTGAAAGGGAACCCCCCTCAAAAATGCCAAGGGTTTTCTTTCGGTCTCCCTTCAACATTAAACAAAAGGGACCCCCCAAACAACAAACAACAACAACAACACCCGGCTGTTTTGATTGGGAACATCCCGCAATCCAACAATTTGGCACCTTCCCGGCCTATCCTCGACTGACGGTCTGGTGGTTTGGCGATGTAAACGGTGACAGGGTTCCACTTCTTGACTGCCCTAAGATAGACTCAAACACAGGGCTGGCTCATTCCCCCCAAAAGGAGAAACCCTGAGTTTAAGTCTATCTTGGGGCTGACCTTAGGGATGTTAGGAGAAGATCGCAAGCAACGGATTCCTTTGTTGGACATGGTGTCCAGACATCCCTTTAGGGTTCCACAAAGGAAAGCCCTTATGGCCATGGCAGAATCTAAGAAGGCCAAGCCATATATATATATATATCGATATACATATATACATATGTATATACATTGAGTGCCCCCCGTAATGCTTATAGTAAGAAAATGGCCATTTTGGATATTGCATGTTTCAAGCCATCCTGAGACCAAATTTCGTGGTCAAAAGGGGTGGCAGAAAGGGGTAGCAGGTTTGGACGACCCTCGTTTTGGTGGTCAAAAGGGGTGGCAGAAAGGGGTGGCAGATTTGGCTGCGCCCCCTTTTGAGTGATCTGCCGCCAATTTCTGCCACCCCTTTTGACCACCAAAAAGGGCATGCCGCCAATTTCTGCCACCCCTTTTGACCACCAAAAAGGGGCGCGGCCAAATCTGCCACCCCTTTCTGCCACCCCTTTTGACCACCAAAAAGGGCATGCCGCCAATTTCTGCCACCCCTTTTGACCACCAAAAAGGGGCGCGGCCAAATCTGCCACCTTTTTTGCCACCCCTTTTGACCACCAAAAAAGGGTGTGCCACCAATTTCTGCCACCCGTTTTGACCACCAAAAAGGGGCGCGGCCAAATCTGCCACCTTTTTTGCCACCCCTTTTGACCACCAAAAAAGGGTGTGCCGCCAATTTCCGCCACCCGTTTTGACCACCAAAAAGGGGCGCGGCCAAATCTGCCACCTTTTTTGCCACCCCTTTTGACCACCAAAAAGGGTGTGCCGCCAATTTCTGCCACCCCTTTTGACCACCAAAAAGGGGCGCGGCCAAATCTGCCATCCTTTTCTACCACCGCTTTTGACCGCCGAAAAGGGGGCACCTCCCTTAGCAGTAGTAGTAGTAGTAGTAGTAGTAGTAGTAGTAGTAGTAGTAGTAGTAGTAGTAGTAGTAGTAGTAGTAGTAGTAGTAGTAGAAGAGTTGGGTGGAGTTGGAGTGGAGTTGGAGTGCGGTTGGAGTGGAGTTGGCTGGAGCTGGGTTGGAGTTGGAGTGGAGTTGGAGTGGAGTTGGCTGGAGCTGGGTTGGAGTTGGAGTGGAGTTGGAGTGGAGTTGGCTGGAGCTGGGTTGGAGTTGGAGTGGAGTTGGAGTGGGGTTGGAGGAGTTGGAGTGGAGTTGGAGTTGGGTGGAGTTGGGTTGGAGTTGGAGTGGAGTTGGAGTGGAGTTGGAGTGGAGTTGGAGTGGGGCTGGAGTTGGAGTGGAGTTGGAGTGGGGTTGGAGTGGGGTTGGAGGAGTTGGAGTGGAGTTGGAGTGCGGTTGGAGTGGAGTTGGCTGGGAGCTGGGTTGGAGTTGGAGTGGAGTTGGAGTGGAGTTGGAGTGGGGTTGGAGGAGTTGGAGTGGAGTTGGAGTTGGGTGGAGTTGGGTTGGAGTTGGAGTGGAGTTGGAGTGAGATTTGAGTGGGGTTGGAGTGGAGTTGTATTGGAGTTGGAGTGGAGTTGGAGTGGAGAGGAGTTGGAGTGGGGTTAGAGTGGAGTTGGAGTGGAGTTGGAGTGGAGTTGGAGTGGGGGTGGAGTGGATGGAGTTGGAGTGGAGTTTGAGCGGAGTTGAAGTGGAGTTGGAAAGGAGTGGAGTTGGAGTGGAGTTGAAATGGAGTTGGAGTGGGGGTGGAGTGGAGTTGGAGTTGGAGTTGAGTTTGAGCGGACTTCAAGTGGCGTTGGAGAGGATTTGAGTTGGAGTGGGGTTGGAGTGGAGTTGGAGTGGAGTTGGAGTGAAGTTGGAGCGGGCTTGGAGCTGGAGTGGAGTTGGAGTGGAGTTGGAGCGGAGTTGAAGTGGAGTTGGAGTGGAGTTGAAGTGGAGTTGGAGCGGAGTTGGAGTGGAGTTGAAATGGAGTTGGAGTGGAGTTGGAGTGGAGTTGAAATTGGAGTGGGGGTGGAGTGGAGTTGGAGTTGGAGTGGAGTTTGAGTGGAGCTGGAGTGGAGCTGGAGTTGGAGTTGAGTTTGAGCGGAGTTGAAGTGGCGTTGGAGAGGAGTGGAGTTGGACTTGGGGTGGGGTGAAGTTGGAGTGCAGTTTGAGTGGAGTCGCAGTGGAGTTGTAAGGGAGTTGGAGTGGAGTTGGTGTGCAGTTGGAGTGGGGTTGGAGTGGAGTTGGAGTGAAGTTGGAGTGGAGTTTTAGTGGAGTCGGAGTGGAGTTGTAAGGGAGTTGGAGTGGAGTTGGAGTGGAGTTGAAATGGAGTTGGAGTGGAGTTGGAGTTGAAGTGGGGGTGGAGTGGAGGTGGAGCTGGAGTGGAGTTTGAGTGGAGCTGGAGTGGAGTTAGAGTGGAGTGGGGGTGGAGTTGGGGTTGGCGTGGAGTTTGAGTGGAGCCGGAGTGGAGTTGTAATGTAATTAATCAAAGTTGGAGTTGGAGTGGAGTGGAGTTGGAGTGGGGTTGGAGTGGAGTTGGAGTGGAGTGGAGTTGGAGCTGGAGTGGAGTTGGAGTGGAGTTGGGGGTGCAGTTGGAGTTGGAGTGGAGTTGGAGTGGAGTTGGAGTTGGAGCGGAGTTGGAGTGGAGTTGTAATGGAGTTGGAGTGGAGTTGTAATGGAGTTGGAGTGGGGTTGGAGTGAGTTGGAGTGTTGGAGTGGAGTTGGAGTGGAGTTTGAGTGGATCGGGCCAAAAAGCCAGAAAGGGGCCACCAAACGCATGAGTGCCCCCCACTCCCGCCCCACACTTGCCCCAACACCTCTCGGCGGGGGGGGGAGTGTTTTGGGGGGAGGTTGGGCTTGGCCCCCCAACCCCCCAAACCCCGCCCCCAAACCCCCGAACCTCCCCCCCACAACCTCCGCGCTGATCCGCGCTGATCCGTGCTGATCCGCGCTGATCCGTGCTGTTCCGCGCTGATCCGCGCTGATTCGCGCCGATCGATCCGTGCTGATCCGCGCTGATCTGCGCTGATCCGGGCTGATCCGTCTGATCTGTGCTGATCCGCGCTGTTCCGCGCTGATCCGCGCTGATCCGCGCTGTTCCGCGCCGATCCACGCCGATCGATCCATGCTGATCCGCGGTTCCGCGCTGTTCCGCGCTGTTCCGCGCTGTTCCGCGCTGTTCCGCGCTGTTCCGCGCTCTTCCGCGCTCTTCCGCGCTCTTCCGCGCTCTTCCGCGCTCTTCCGCGCTCTTCCGCGCTCTTCCACGCTCTTCCGCGCTCTTCCGCCCTCTTCCGCGCTCTTCCGCGCTGTTCCGCGCTGTTCCCTTCCGCACTCTTCCGCGCTCTTCCGCGCTGTTCTGCGCTCTTCCGCGCTGTTCCCCGCTGTTCCGCGCTGTTCCGCGCTGTTCCGCGCTGTTCCGCGCTGTTCCGCGCTGTTCCGCGCTGTTCCGCGCTCTTCCGCGCTCTTCCGCGCTCTTCCGCGCTCTTCCGCGCTGTTCCGCGCTCTTCCGCGCTCTTCCGCGCTCTCCCGCGCTCTCCCGCGCTCTCCCGCGCTCTCCCGCGCTCTCCCGCGCTCTCCCGCGCTCTTCCGCGCTCTTCTGCGCTCTTTCGCCCTGTTCCACGCTGTTCCGCGCTGTTCCGCGCTGTTCCGCGCTGTTCCGTGCTGTTCCGCGCTGCTCCGCGCTGCTCCGCGCTGCTCCGCGCTGTTCCGCGCTGTTCCGCGCTGTTTCGCGCTGTTCGGGGACCAGGGAGGGGCTATAGGCGGAGGGGGGGCGGAGGGGGCGGGGAGGCGGGGGGGGGAGGGGGGAGGGAGGGGGGAAGGCGGGGAGGGTGGGTGGGCGGGGGGGGGGGGAAGGGGAGGAGGGGAGGGGGCGGTTGGGGGGGGGAGGAATCCAGAGATCCAGAGATCCAGATCTAAGTAAGTCCAGCGTAGAACAGCGCGGAACAGCGCGGAACAGCGCGGAACAGCGCGGAAGAGCGCAGAAGAGTGCGGAAGAGCGCGGAAGAGCGCGGAAGAGCGCGGAAGAGCGCGGAGAGAGCGCGGAAGAGCGCGGAAGAGCGCGGAAGAGCGCGGCGGAGCGCAGGAAGAGAGAGCGCGGAACAGCGCGGGAAGAGCGCGGAAGAGCGCGGAAGAGCGCGGAAGAGCGCGGAGGAGGGCGGAAGAGCGCGGAAGAGCGCGGAACAGCGCGGAACAGCGCGGAACAGCGCGGAACAGCGCGGAACAGCGCGGAACAGCGCGGAACAGCGGGGAACAGCGGGGAAGAGCGCGGAAGAGCGCGGAAGAGCGCGGAAGGGAACAGCGCGGAGCAGCGCGGAGCAGCGCGGAACAGCGCGGAACAGCGCGGAACAGCGCGCGGAACAGCGTGGATCGGCGCGGAGCAGCGCGGATCAGCGCGGAACAGCGCGGATCAGGAACAGCGCGGATCAGCACAGATAAGCAGGGATCAGCCCGGATCAGCGCGGATCGATCAGCGCGGAAGCGCGGATCAGCGCGGAACAGCGCGGATCGATCGGCGCGGATCAGCGCGGATCAGCACGGAGCAGCGCGGAACATCGGCGCGGATCAGCGCAGAACAGCGCGGATCAGCGCGCGCGGAACAGCACCGATCAGCTCGGATCCGGATCGGGCGGGGGGGTTTGGGGGGCGCTTGCGGGGGTTGGGGGGTGTTGGTTTGGGGG